AATATCTTTATAAATACCGAACCAAATTACGATTTAATGGTATCATTGCATTCCGAAAATTATTCTCATTCCATTTCACCGCTTGTTTTCAGTAAATATGAAAATCACATTTTCAATAAAAAAAAAAACAAAGCCAAACGTCAATTGACGTATTTGCCGGCGCGCATGAGAAACTTTATCGATGCAATTGGCATCCGATAAACAATCACACTGTGATTGCGCATTGATTATTAAGCATGAAATTATCAATTATGGATGTTTTTGATTAACAAACAAAGTACTCTTTTTTGGTAAATAAATTAAAATTTATAACGCTACATTTGTAAAAGTTTGATTTCGGATTTCAAATATCCATCGATAGATCGATGTTTTCGTGATCCCTTGCCATCGCACTACTGAGTTACTTTTAATCATCTCAGCAGTCGCCCGCAGAGATTCCTACGAGGAGGCTGTGTCGCTCGTCACCAAAACCAATCTAGTTCTCACTAAGGTTCGCGTGGCACCATGTTTGGTCGGCCGATTATAGAACCAGGAGGATGATATTGGCACTCCGCCATGCCCCTTAGATTATAGTTTTTTTATGGCCTTCTGCCCTTACCAGAAATATGTATTGTGTAGTTCGAATAATGGAAAACTTAATCTCGCGACCATCGTGCGTGCACGTGGTGTGACATGGGGTCACCCACGCCCGATTCTTCGAGTCTTCGACTTCACCGATGGGCTCAAATGCCCATGAGCTCCTGAGACCTGCGTTCTTCCTGCTCAGGCCTGCGGCGTCAGTCCGTAGACCCCCATCATCAGGGTGCAGCATGCTGTGACGTCAAGGGTTGACGTCCTGAGGCATCACCGCCATCGTCGCTTCGTTCAACGAGGGAACGTGGTACCACCAGAGATGTGTGTCGAATCGTGAGCTCAAGTATTATTACTTTTTTGTGTGCGCATGCGTCTTTTCGTCGCCACGTGTCCCATCTGGACTTTAAAGGACTTTTCGGGTCGACAGATTATTACATAGCATCATTGTCATTATACTTTAAGAACCATTGTTCCGCTGCGGGCCGCCGCCATGTAACTCGCGAGATTATATTAATATAAATTGAATGTACCAAAATCCGCCATCTTTGATTTGAATTCCCACGCTACGGCCTTTGTACTTCAATAGTTCATTGCTGTAACCGAGAGTTTTATCCCGGTACCTTATCAGCTGGGTATTAGCTGAAATAACACTTGCTCGTATGTAAGGAGGTTCCGTACCATTAAATAGTAAGGTAAAGTAAAATATTTGGATTCCATTCTTTTTCTTTTACATACAACGTACTGAACCAATTATAAATTCTATTATTTTTTCTCTTTTAAATACGACAATGTAAAACACAGAATACCTAAAATTTAGTACAGAATCATACCTACCAGGCATTGAACTATGCAACATTTACATCTCCTTGTGATAAAGTTTCTGAAAGCTCAACTTGCACTAGATGGATCGTGGAATCGTCTCGTCTGGAGTCACTCAAGTTTCTGTTCTGTATGACGCCAGAAGCACGGTTTCATGCAATTACTACGGTTAGAAACATATTTTCATGTCGTGTCGTGTCGATGCTCTAACCTATCTCTTTCTCTAAAAGTACAATTCCGCAATGGACTGCAGCCGACAACCGCAGGCGACACTGCGGCTGACCGTGCATTATATGCATTGTGCAGCCGCGGCACGTCGCCGCGCTCGGAAACAATTTCATAGAGATTCATAGATACTAGTAGTGTCGCCTGCAGTCTGCGGTTCAGTTCGGACTTTTACCTTAACCCATAATAAATGTATGAAACCGGCGCGCCACGACAAGTTAATATGTACAGGGCGTAACCCTACCCTAAGTAAAATGTAAGTAGCGCCATCTAGAGGAGAAGTAGAAAATTATACTTTCGTATTTGTTCACAAGATGTCGAACATTAGAATATGTGATGTTTCTGGTATATTTTATTACTCTTCGATGTGATGGGCCGGTTGATCCAACAGTTATTTTATTCGGACTGGAAAGGGCTTCCGATGTGTTTTCTTTCCAAGATTTATTTACACTTTTTATTTAGCATTAGGTACCTGTGTACCTGTCTATAATAAAATTTGACACTACAGAGGCCCAAGCAGGTTTTTTTGACAGCTCTGTAAAGTATCGTAATCGTAAAATTTTGTATGGAAAAAGCTAATTTGTTCTTACGTCCAATGGGTCATAGTTTTCATAGAAACTTTGGATACGTTATAGTGCTGTCAAAATCTCGTGTTTGAGTGTCTGTTTCCGATTGAACTGAAATGCATTAACGATAATGGCAAAAATATAAAAATTACTGAAATTTAATTTGTAGTTTTTTATCTTTTCGCAGGACAATTGGACGTAGTTCGCGAAAACGTTCCAACCCACAGCGACCCCATTTTGAGATAAACGCAATTTTGTGTTTTAGCGGTACACTTTTTCCCTGTAATTATTTCAGGCAAATACTATTGGTGTTACTGTGGAATGCCAAACTGGTTATTGAATGATATGCATATTTTTTGTAAATACATAATACAAGGGGCATATAAATAGTTAAAACGAGTTTGAAACGTTTTCGCTAAATTTAATTTTGTATGAACCTTGTTAAATAGCAATTATGCATAAACGTTCCAGAACGAATTTAAGTGTATTATTTTATAAATATATCTAAAATAAATATGTAAAATATTAAATAACAATGAGAAACATACAAAAACAACAAAAAAAAAAAAATTTAAAATGTATTACAAAAAAAATAGAACGTGATCTTTTGAGCTTAGAACCTATGCCAATTTGCTGATATGGTTCCAAAAGTTATCAAAAACTTATATTATAAATATTCAATTTTCATCATCGTATTCTATGATCTTGAAGTCCGGAACTCCACCAAACCCATCAACATCATCAGTGCTTCTTCAGAACTTTGAAGCGTTCTATAAAATTGAAGGCAATCCACTTCCTGTGCACCTCTTCCTACCTCTCCTTCTACCAATACATAACAATGCCCAGTATCATTAGATGCACTATGGATACCACTATTGTAGAACTAAGTAAAAAAGTTAAACCTCTTCAAGTTTACAAAATGACAAAGACTGATTTTTTTAGTACAACTAAACTGGAAAAGCAGATTATCAATAGGAAGAAGTTTACAGACTCATCTAAAGTTAGTTGGCTACATACAAAAGAAATTAAGTTGGATAAAGATAAAATGTTTTCTATTTTTATGCGGTCTACGATGGAAGACGATTTCAATGAGTTGAAAATTGATAAAAGAATAAAACGAGAACTGCAATACATAAAACAATCTGATTTTTGCTTATTGTGGCCTAACGACAAACCGATTGCTCCAGCGAAATTAGTGGACTTACAATCCATGTACCACTACATACCCGAGCATTGTCTTCAATTTTATAGAACGCTTCAAAGTTCTGAAGAAGCACTGATGATGTTGATGGCTTTGGTGGAGTTCCGGACTTCGAGATCATAGAATATGATGATGAAAATTGAATGTTTATAATATAAGTTTTTGATAACTTTTGGAACCATATCAGCAAATTTTTGGCATAGGTTCTAAGCTCAAAAGATCACGTTCTATTTTTTTGTAATACATTTTCAAATATTTTTTTTGTTGTTTTTGTATGTTCCTCATTGTTATTTATTATTTTACATATTTCTTTTTGGTTTATTTTTATAAAATAATACACTTATATTCGTTTTGGAAAGTTTATGCATAATTGCTATTTAACAAGTTTCATACAAAATTAATTTAGAAAAAACATTTCAAACTCGTTTTACCTATTTATATGCCCCTTGTATTATGTATTTACAAAAAATATGCATATCATTCCATAATCAGTTTGGCATTCCATAGTTAAACCAATAGTAGGTATTTGCCTGAAATAATTACAGGGAAAAAGTGTGTAAATTGCGTTTATCTCAAATTGGGGTTGCTGTGGGTTGGAACATTTTCGCGTAACTACGTCCAAATATACCATAGTTATTTATTTTGGTAAAAAATATATTTTTCTCTAGAACATATTTAATACCAAAAATGGATCAAGTATATGTGGATTGTTTATAGCAAAAAATTAGAAAATAATATATTATAATAAAAGGTTCCAATTTATTTAGAACAGTGTTCGCAGCTTAAAAAAACAGTATGGATTAATCTAAAAGGTTTCAAATTACATGGAACATTTTTGCAGAAATAAAAAATGTATAAAGATTTTGCAAAAACGTTCCAACCCACATGGATCATTTAAGAAACCATTAAATGTGCGTTTTATGAATTTAGTATAATGTTCCAAGACAAGTGGAACATTATAACGATATGTTATTCTAATAAGAGTTTTTAACAATATGTTTAAGTATGCATGTAATGTTTTTACTTTATTTTGAGTACACGTCCTTGGCATAATGGTGGGTTGGAACATTTGGGTTAAACTTTATTGATGAAACTAACCTAAAAATACTAGCATCTTTGTGTGCACATGATGTAATATGTCAAAAATAGTACCCTGGGGGCCAATCGCCTAACTGGATTGCTTTGGAAAACGCTATCGCTTACGATTTCATTTTGTTATTTCTAGCCGCCTGAGGTTTTCAAATGCCTCGCGCTCTTTTTTTTTTCTTTTGCATTGGTAATAACAATGTTAAAGAAAATGAGCGTGAGGTATTTGAAAACCTTCGGCGGTCAGAAATAACAAAATGAAATCGTAAGCGATAGCGTTTTCCAAAGCAATCTGGTTAGGCGATTGGCCCCCTGGTTGGTAACTCATTTTCGAGTGACTTGTGGGTTGGAACGTTTTCGCGTAACTACGTCCAATTAGAAGTCTGCATTGGTAACAACTCAAGATTCAAGTATGTTTGGTGGAGAAACTGCAGTTCAGTTGCAAGGTTAGAAATGGCATCTTTCGCAACTGAACTTGATGGACTTTTTACAAGTTTACAAAATAAGTTATAATGAAATACAATTTAGATGCAACTTTTTATTAAAAGGTACAACATAGAACACGGCACAGATAGATAAAATAACATTAATAAAAATATAATCTTCAATTAAAAATTTATACAATAAAAAATAATCGTGAAATAGGTCACGTAAGTTTAACATAATAATTTACTTAATAAACAAATATATTATTTATCGTTTTGTTTAGTTGGATCTTATACTTCTTATTTTATTTTTTATATTTCAGGCAGAAGTTGGAGATGAACCATATTGAATCTATTATAGAGGAAGTAATAAAAGAACTATCAGCCTTCTGTGCCAATGGAATGTTATTATTATTAAATATACACAACATTTCGCAGCTATCTGGTTCAATTAGAGACCATAGACAAATAAGAATACGGCAGAAGTATTCCTTATGTTACACTGTGCACTCGCAGCTGTTGTTACACTGTCCACCACTTAAAGCTCATGTCAAATGGCAAGCTGATTAAATCAAGTGGCTGCGACATATAAGGTAGGGTCGCCTAAGATCGGATGTGCCACAAGACCGGATACATACAATTTCACACGAAAGAAGCGACATTTTTCACGGCTGGCAACATAGTTTTGTTCGCCATTTTGTTCTGCCCCTCCCTTCATACCGCGATAAGCGTTGCGAGTGGTAGGACGCGTGCAACGGAGCGTACAAAACAAAACGACATTTTTCTGAAATTTTTGGCGATCCGATCTTTGAGCCAAGAGTTCTTGTTAAAATTATGGTGAGTATTTATCATTTTATTGCTTTTTAAGTAGAATTCTGTGCAGAATTAGCAAGTGCTCTCCAGGATTGTATACTTGGTTTACGCCTAGGACGTCTGTAAACGAAGATCCGGACTTTCCGCCCATTGCCAAAGTACGGACTACGATAGTCCGATCTTAAAGCACAAAAAAAATGGAATGGTTGTCAAAATTTTTAAATAGACAATTAATTTAAATTATTATCCAATTTATTAAATTAATTCATCATAACAAATTGTTCTTAAATTGTCGTTTTTGGTAGAGCAAAAAGTTACTTACCAATGCATAGTATCTTCTTTTCTTAACACCTATTAAGTATGAAACTTCTTAAAAGGACTATTATTTTTTAATTCAGCTATTGTATTGTATGTTTTTGTTACTAACGCAGTTCACTTGAGGCCAATTTTAATATCTATCTATAATAAAAGATAAACTTATCCTGGTAACATATACACATGATTTATTACGTGTTTTTACCACGATAAATAATTGAAATAAGTTACCCGTAATCATGTGTATATATACGTATAATAATAACCGCAAGCAATGTGAGCAATAAAGAATTTATCTATCTATCTATCAATAACCGCGAATATTTAAAAAAAATATTTATCCTGGTTACGTCATTCGCTATCATTCATAAGAATGAAGTGGGATTAAGAATTTGTTAATGGTTGCTTACAGATTAAACATGCCTGCAAATTATCAAAGGAGCACTCTTAGAGCGACCGCCTATACCCAAGAGGATTTAAGAGAAGCCGTGGAAAAAGTAAGAAGCAAAGAACTGTCAAACTATGCCGCGTCTCAATTGTATGGGATACCGACATCTACTCTCAACGATCGTGTGTTGGCAAAAACGGGTATTAAAAGCCAAACACTAGGAAGAGCCCCAGCTATTCCTCTAGATCAGGAAACTAAGTTGGCTGAATATTTGCGCACGCTTGAAAAATGGGGTTGGGGTTTATCAAAAGAGGAAGTATTAGATTTAGTGGCAGCGTTTGTACGAAGAAATAATTTAAAAACACCGTTCAAAGATGACAGGCCAGGCACCAAGTGGTTCGTGGCTTTTAGAGAGCGACATAAATTATCAGTGAAGAAACCTCAAGCAGTAGAAGCCGTACGAAAACGAATGACGGATCCATTTTTTATTGATGAATATTTTACACTCTTGGAAGAAGTCCTCACAAAGTACAATATTAAAGATCAGCGAAAAATATGGAATCTAGATGAAACCTCCGTCTGTCTAGATCCGAGTAGGACAAAAGTTGTTGGTGCCATTGGTCAACCATGTACAAGAACGACTGCTGGTACAGGTAAAGAAAATATTACTGTCTTAACCACAGTTAACGCTGCAGGTGAGAAAATAAATCCTTTAATTGTATTTAAAGGAAAAAATGTCTACCAAGAATGGATGTTGGACGATAAAGGGACATATGAGTTTGAGCTTGCTTATGCTGCAAGCAAGCGTGGATGGATGGAGACGGATATTTTCTATAATTACATGTCAAATTATGTCATTCCCAATTTAGGCACAGAGAGACCCCATCTGATGGTGTACGACGGCCATGTAACACATGTCGACGAAAAAGTAGTTTCTTTGGCAGCAGAAAATGGTTTGATCATATTAAAACTCCCTGCACACACCTCGCACCTTCTACAGCCCTTGGATATTGCTGTATTCAAATCCTTCAAAAGTATCTGGGACGCACAGCTTGTTACTTGGTAGCGAGAGAATATTGGTGTCAAAGTTCGTAAGCAAGCTTTCGCTCGCATGTTTGCAGAAGCATGGCACAAGACAAAGCCAGAAGTTATAAAAAACGGCCATAAAAAAGGGAGGGATCTATCCATATAATCCGGCCGTCATTCCCAAAGAAAAATTTGAACCTGCTGCTTATAAAAGATGACTCAAATACAAAGAAGAACAAAACGCTCTCTCTAAGAAGATAAATGTTAATACACTTGCAAAACTTTGCACAGATGTCATAAATAAAGGAATACACATCGAGCTAACTGTGCCCACTGTGGATGACGCTGATGAAAATCCTGACGTAATCAAACAAAATGAGGCAAAGACTTTTGAAGAACTTCTATTGGACAAAATTAAACAACAGCCGCAAAACAAAACGGCTACAAAATTAACTCGCGTAGCCAAAGGATCAGAAGTCATCACACTTACGTATTTAGAAAAGAGGAAAGAATCCGAACAAAAAAGATCGTTTGACAAACCTGTTGATAATGAACAACCCGGGTCATCTGGATTATGCAATAAGAAGACGACTTTAAGTAAAAAAGCAGTAAAAGAAAAGGTTGAGGGAAAGAAAACAAGAACTGGAAAAAATAACATCAGTATTACTAAAAATTCGGATCATAACTTAAATATTTCTGACGACTCCGGCTACGAAAAAGCAGAAAAGGAACCAAATTTAGGAAAAACACTACAAGAACCCGCTGATATTGAAAGTACACTTGAAACACTAGCTCGAAAAAATATTTTGTCTAATAAAACAGCAAAAGGAAAGGGTATAGGCAAAAAAACAAAGAGTGCAACGAACAATGTCTGTTCTACTAGTAATCCAGAGCAGGGTAACAGTATTTCTGATAACACAGAACAAAATAAGTTGACAAGCACTATCAAAATGGAAACAGATGTTAACATAATTTCTTACAATAAACTACAAATTAAAACAACCAATAACAAAAGACAACACAATTCTAAGGACAAAACATCAAAGAAAAAACGGGCAAAAAAAGTAAAGAGGTCTCGAAGTATCTCTTCCACATCTGAAAGTGCTACAGCGCTAAGTTTACGTAGTGACTCTGAAATAGACGACAACTTCAGTGACATATTTCCTGACAATGATGCATTTGTTAGTGAAACAGTTTTATTTTCAAGAGAAGAACAGATTGAAACAATTGTTAAAGAAATATATGCAGAAACCGAAGAATACAAAAATGAAAACAGTAAAAAAGATAACATGTCCGATATAACTGATAACAATAGAAATGAAAACATTAAAATAAAGGAAACCCCGCAAGAAAATAAACAAGGAGACGAAAAAGAAAACAACATAATAAATAAAACCACGCAAGATAATACACAGGAAGACGAAAAAGAAAACAACATATTAAATGAAACCCTGCAAGAAAATGCACAAGAAGACGAAAATGAAAACAACATAAAACTAACATCACATAGCACTTTAATGAATAAAATCAATGTAATTTCATCTATTCCACTGACAACAAAATTTGGCTACAAACCGAAAGGTTTGAAAAAAAATGATCTAAATAGTAAGTTAAATTTACAACGACGACATGGAAGTGGAAGTTTCACTGCTAACATTGAAATTAAAGAAGTTGAAAATGTTGGACAGACATATAATATTGGGGAAACTGTCCTTACGCGATACTTTACAAGAACTTGGAAATATTTTGTGGGTACAATTGAGAAAGTCCATTTTAAAGAAAGAAAGTACACCATATCGTTTTACAAAACGTTTGGTAAAAGCGAGAATGTAATGTTCGTGCTTTCTAAGCGTAAAGATATCGATTGTGTTCCTGAAGAAAACATAGTCAAATTGATTGAATTACTACAGATAAAGGAAAATCCTCCCCAGTTTGTATTAAACGATGACGAAGACGCTCATTACTTCATAAAAGTCTGAATAGTTAATGAGAAGAAAATGCTATTTTTGTACATGTTTATAGAAACATAGTTAGATTTTTAATGTTTATACGTTTTCCTACCTCAGTTTATATTATTTGATGATAAAGACGCTCATTACTTCATATAAGTCTGAATAGTTAATGAGAAGAAAATGCTATTTTTGTACATGTTTATAGAAACAGTTAGATTTTTAATGTTTATACGTTTTCCTACCTCAGTTTATATTATTTCATGATAAAGATGCTATCTTTATTTCATAAGTCTAAATAATAAAAATATGTCATTTTTGTACTTGTTTATAAAAACATATTTAGATTTTCTATGTTTTGTAAAATTTATTTTCTGTTCGTATTAATTAATGATGAAGACGCGAATTACTTCATGGAAGAAGTCGTAAAAGTCACTAGCTAATAAGAAAAAAATGTGATTTTTGTAGTTTTTAAAGATACAGATTTAGATACCTAGCTAGTTAGTTTTTTTATGTTTCTCAAGTTTTTATTCCTCAGTTCCTATTAATTGATCATGAAGACATATAATAAGTCTGAATAGCTTATAAGGAAATGTGATTTTTGTACTTGTTTAAAAAATAGTCTCTAAAATTATTACACCAAGTGTTTATAGGTTAGTTTCACAGGGAGAAGTACCGTTTTTGTTATTCTTTTACTTATTTTTTATATTACTTTAATATTTTATTTAATAAGCCAGTCTATGCCATTCTAAGAACTAAGACTCGCCTACCAAAAGAATAATAAATGTTCATTAAATAAAAAAAAATGTTTCATTTTTTTATCGTGTCGTTTGTGTCAAATTTTATATTTAGCAATAACCCACGCAGGTAAAGAATAAGATTGAAAATGGTGGCACGTCAATTAAAAATAGCACTGAAACACTATAGGTATACCTGTCAGGCAGACCTTTTTACTTCCACTATTTATCTGCATGGGTTTAAATTAGGTACATAGTATAATTATATTTATCTATGAGTTTAGTTCAGTTCAGCCCTATTTTAGCACATAACTATTACGTCCGGTCTTAAATCTCTATCTTCCGATTGCTATATTGCTACGCGAGGCTGACTGAATAAAGTTTGAGAAACTCAATTTTGCTCACATTAGGCTTGGGAGGGAAGATCGGACTAAAAAATGCTAAAAAAAAAAATACCTGTTTTTGCCACACCACGCGGAATTACAAGACGATTTTGTGATATGTTGTTTTCAATTTAAGATCGGATATTTTCCTTTTGTGCACTCTAATGCCACAGCTTCACGGGCGAAATTAAGCAGTAGTCCGAACTTTGGCTTTGCCAGGTTTTTTTGAAAAGTAGTCAAGAAAACTATTCTGTCACTTTGAAGGCGTGTCTCACAAAATCTAAAGCGTGTATCGAATTAAACGAAAAGTGACCAGATTATTTGTTTTATTGCTTATAACTTCCTCTAACAGTCCATTTGTAAAAAAGTTATGGGAAATGAAAAAAGCTATGTTTTTTGACACGGTCCGAACTCGACGAAAAAGCGTCCGATCTTAGGCGACCCTACCTTATAGTTTTTGGTGGTGGTTGAAAAGGAATGAAGAATTCTTTAGGAATGGTTAATATTTTGAGGTAGTTAGCGTTACGTATGTTAGCGGTTAACTAAATCTTATAGAAAAGGCTTCAAATTATGCTGAGCAGAGATTTTAGTATGAATTTCTGTTCACAAAATTTGACAAAATTGATAGATTTATTAATAAATAGATTTATAAAATAATCACACTCAACGATTACGACATATATGACACAAACATTAATATTATTACACTTAGATAATGTCCAACATACATTTAACGTGTTAATTCTACAAAACATCACACTTAGATATATTTCATACTATGATGTCAAATATATTTACTAAACATTTTAGCACCACTATTTGTTCGCTTGTTTGTTCAGTACCCTTAACACATGCGCTAGCATCACTATATAGTTTGTGCTTAGCACGAACCATTATCGATTTCGAATAGTTTGCGAGTCCGAAATGTCAATGTCAAATTTTGTATGGAAACTTGAAAAGCAGCACCACAAAGTACATAAAGAGGACTAAAAATCAGTACAGATTTGACAATGACATTTCATACTCGCAAACGATACGAATTCGGTATTGGTTCCTATTTGTTGATAGTGAAAAAAAAAACATTTACGTATTGCACTTAACATTATAATAATCTCATGTTTTTCTGATATTCTTATAAATAGTGATACATTACGAATGTTAAAATTAAATAAGTGTAAATGGACATATAGCAAAACAAGGTTTTTTTTTATTAATTTTTGTTGTACGTACATCTCTTTTTCACTTACTGTGTCCAGGATCACTATTTAATAACAAGGAAATGGTTAAGGACACTTATATTTTGTACTTTCTGAAGTCACTATTGTAATAAATAAGTTGAAAGTTCATAACATCACACTTATTGTTGTTCAAGTAAAATGTTGTCTTATTCTTTTTTCAACGTAAAGACAGTGACAGCAATATAGAGGATGAATCAGATGAAAAAGTAATAACTAAAGGATTTAGAAACCATTTTTTAAGGCAGATTCTGTAAGGAAATATCAAATCTACTTTAAGTACAACTAACTGGCAAGATATAGGAAAACTATCAATCTAGTAGATATTTCATTACGGAGCAATAGTCCATCTATAGTCCATCTAGGCACTGTTAATCAGATATAATATAATATATATAATATATCAGCAAGTGATGATACAAGCCATTAGTTAAGGTTTAAAATAGCGAGATAGAATTTTTAATATTAATATTGATATTATGGTACTTATGTTAAATATATTTTGAATAATCTGGATGTGATAAAATACTATATAAAACGTCAAATGAACATAATAAAATGAATTTATTATCTAGAACCAGAATTTCATTCAAAATGTCGCTATTTAAGACCCCCAGAAATGAAGGAAAACTTTAAAAAAAAAGAGTACACGAACAGCATTCGCAAATCAGTCAGGTTATAAAATACTGACAATTTTTTACAACTGATTTTTAATTCCGATCCTTAATACCTCTAATATCAAGTTCTAATTAAAATTGGGGAGACTTTTCAGTATAATTACCCGGTTTCTGTTCATAAGGAATCACGTCCACAATGAGGTCGGCATCATTCCCTCCATGGAAATGTTCTTCGGTGTTAGAACTTCGTTGCATAGGAAGTCGAGCGGCAAGTCGACTAAATTCCCTTGTATGATGGCAATTTTTCTGTTGGCGAGTGCTTTGTCAGAATGCCAGAGGGTCTGGCAGTTTTCTTCTTGATACTTTTTCAGTTCGGCAAATGTGTGGACGGAATCGGTGGGTATGCAGTGGAAGACCTGTGTAAAATGACAACGCATAATTAAGTACATGAACATATTGTTTTAAACTTTCATGGTCACTAAAATTAAAGTAATTTATATTATTTACGCGATTGTTAGCATGTTCCTTGTTTTCGTTTGCGATATTTCGGCACTGTTTCAACTGCCACGATCACGAAATAACTGTAATATTTGCAGTTAGGTTGTTATTTGGCAGACATATCGGTCTACCCCCTTACGGGTACGGGTAAGGTACATAGCAACAGTCCCGTAAAAAACATAAATTACTAAAGTAGATGAATTTTTAATAGCGTCATACTTACAGAAGAAATAGCAATTCAGAAGAAAGAAAATACAACTAGAAGAATTTCGACGCGGCCGTTAGGGCCGCGGTAGCATAATTGGTCAGTGCATTTGCCCGGATTGCGAAGGGTGCGGGTTTGAGTCCCGTCTGCTGCCTGGTCCGCGTGGATTTTTTTCTAGTTATATTTTCTTTAGATTTAAGCGTCATACTTGTTTATTTAAAGTGTTAGTTTATATATAGTTGTGGAGAAGAAATAGCGAAAGAAACTACTAAACGCTATATCTTTACATTTTATATACATACAAATAATTAATGCTGTAATGAATGCCCAGACCATTGCTCATCGCGTCGCGGCGTCGCTCAAAAATATTTATTTGAGAGAGCATAAAAACCCACCCCACACACACCCAATTAATAGTTTCAAAGTAGACATAAATACGGATTCCCAGGTGTTCCCGGAAGAAACACATATTATACGTGTCTGAGGAGCTCGATGGCGCAAGTGGTTAGCGAGTTCGGTCTGCGATCGTGGAGGTAAAGCGACTTTCGCAATGGCGAGTCATCGGATAGGTGATCAAAAATTTATTATATCGAGTTCTTCCGTGCTCCGGAAGACTAGTTACCCCATTATTTCCGGCTGCACCTGCAGTCGTTAGCACCCACCAATCCGCACTGGACCTGCGTGGCGGATCACGGCCCAATCTCCGTATTCCATCTATAGAGGAGGTCTGAGCCCCAGCAGTGGGAACGTTTATAGGCTGATGATGATGATAATACCTACCTCTTCATAAGTTTAAGTGTTCCTATTAGAAGTGGCCTTCCACGCGTTTCTTTAGAACGCGTCGCTACCAGGGTCATCGATACTATATAATACTATACTAAATAGTATCCTACTATATTAGGGGAACGAATACTATATTTCTAAAAAAATATAGCAGGCGAAACTACTATATTTTTCTTAAAGCAGAATTTTGGCAGTAAAAGCATCCTTAAAATAAAAACTGAAGTATTAAGGTACTCGGTAGGTATAGAGCAGCAAATATATACTTATTTCACAAATAAAGTAAATATTTTAACCGAATACTATAGCTTTTTCAATTTTTTGTGATTTGTTTCAATGAGGCCCAGATGTATCTGGAATAAACACATATGTATTATACGTACCTCCAGGAGCTAGCAGCTCGATAGCGCAAGTGGTTAGCGCGTTCGGTCTGCGATCGTGGAAGTTAAACATCTTTAGCAATGGTGATTCATCGGATGGGTGACCAAAAATTTATGATCTCGACCTCTTCCGTGCTTCGGCTGGCACGTTAAGCAGTTTTTTCTGGCTGCATCTGCAGTCGCTCGCCCTTACTGATCCGCGTGGTGGGTCATGGACCAATTTCTGTATTCCATCTATTAGGAAGGCAGTGGGCACATTAATAGGCTGATGATGATAATAATACGTACCTCTTCATAAATATCAGTGTTTCTTTTAGAAGTAGTCTGCCACACGTGTCTATAGAATACCTCGCTGCAAGGGTCATCGATGCTAATAGCCAGCAAGTCCAGGTCTTCTTCCATGAGGCCCAGGTGTTCCCGGAATAAACGCTTTCTCAGACCTCCCGCGACGCGACCGCATGGGAACCGTTCCCCGTTCATTATGCCGTCTACGAATTCTTCATCCTGATTCAAATAAAACAAAGTGTGTTATTCTTCTATCTTTGAAAGTTAAAGTTAGGCAATTAGCCCCCAGATGGCGCTAATGATATGTCGAATACTTGGCTGTAGGTTAGAGCAAGCGCGAGCAAGTTAAACTTCAGTCACAGGCCTATTCTGCATTTAACCACAGAACACAGAAAGAGATTAGAAGAGTGATCAGAGACCTTTGGTAAGGGAACCAATGTCGCCGGTTCGCCTCCACTACACTTCCACCTAATTGATAATAGCCAATCAAACAATCGAACTAATCAGCACTCATACCCGAGAGCAATGACGCAATCTGATCCAAGTTTTGGTCAAGTTATGAGCATTTGCTCACAAATAGCTGTGGCGCGCCTGCCCCGCTCATAATGGCCTTCTAACCTCTTTCTTTGTTCTGTGCATTTAACAGACTACCCAGAAAGAGTACAGCGATTTCTGATCATAGGCCTATTACTGCTGTTGGTGCTGCTGCCGATCGTTGTCTTATCATAGGAGATCAGTATTTAGAAGGATTAACAGACTAACACGGCGATTTGTACTAGACAGTCGTCCATTAACCATTAACCGTGATATCCTACCGCGATGTTTCTACACCCCCCCCCCCCCCCGTACGTATTAAGCATCTTATTGATCTGCAAAAAGTAGCGCGACTTCAGAACCCTTCTCGCCGCTCATGGACCTATCTTTGATGCGTTTCCTAGATACAATTTCTTGAAATCAAACAATTTTACATATTCCGCAAACTATATCGAGCATCTTACTGGCCTGCAAGAGAAACCGCGATCTCAGAGTCCCTCTTGCTGATCATGGAGCGATCGTTGATGTTGGCGCTGCCCGCAGATGATCGTGTTATCGTCGGCGATCAGCAGCTTGGAATGCACGTAGATCAGTACCCCCAGCACGAACCAATATTGAGTTCGTAATTTTTGCGATTCCGAAATGTCATTGTCAAATATGTACTGATTTTTAGTTCTCGTTACGTACTTTGTGGCGCTGCTGTTCAAGTTTCCATAGAAAATTTTACATTGACATTTCGCACTCGCAAACTATTCCAATCCCATAATGGTTCGTGCTAGGGGTACAGTTCTTTGACCGGCTCGCCTTCTAGCACCGAGTGGGTGCGGAATCCGTGGAACGTGACGTATAGCGCGATCCAAACTTTAAGGAGGCTGGAAATTAGCTGCGAGCGCTACTACTATCAGGTTTCAGTTCAGTGATTTCCTGCGTCTGCTGTAGTGCAAGCGAGATCTTGTGGCACTTAGATGACATTGACAGAAGAGTGATGGTGGTGAAATTGGAATTACTAACCACGTGAAATCTCCTTACTTCTAGGGAACGTTATAATTTACATTAACTGGGAAGGAGTAATAGGAAATAGAAAAGGCTTATTGATACCTTCAAATATAATTAAAAAGGCTAATTTATACCTTACTAAAATTAGTTCCCATTTCGGTCACGTTTCGCAAGATCTCGGTTGCACTGTACCTACAACTTCACAGTCACCATATTATGTTTGAATCGCACTCTATTTGGAGTTTTGGATGGGTCCTCTTTAGTTAAGAAATCAGGAATTCAGCGTAAAAAAATTACAATGGTAGGTCACCTTTTCTATCGTGAGGTTTCGTGATTTTTTCTGCCGCCCATATGAAACTCACGTGATATGGAAGATCCCTAGATACCACTTTTTGAAAGCCGTACAGTTTTACAAGTTCCGGAAACTATATCTATCATCTTACTGACCTGCAACAGTACCGCGATCTCCGAGTCCCTCTTGCCGATCATGGAGCGATCGTTGATGTTGGCGCTGCCGCAAATGATCGTCTTATCGTCGGCGATCAGTAGCTTGGAATGCACGTAGATCAGTTCTGTGACAGGCTCGCCTTCTAGCACCGAGTGGGTGCGGAGTCCGTGGAACGTGATGTACTTTGAAGGTTCCTCTATGCCGTCTTCGTACAGACGCGTGAGAATGGCTTCGCGACCTCTGTAGGTAAGAGGGAATTTTTTGATTTGGATCAATATTGATAAAATGTGTTTTTAATCCTCTGCTCTTTCAGGAGTTCAAAGATGTATAGTATGCAGTATGTTCGTAATTTGGACTACCCATTAGCAAGTAGATCAGTTCTGTGACGAGTGGGTGTGGAGTCCGTGGAACGTGATGTATGATGTACTTTGAAGGGTCCTCTATGCCATCTCCGTAGACGCGTGAGAATGGCATCGGGGCCCCTGTATCAGTGATATTATTTTGGATAAAGTAAAAAAAAAGTGATTTTAATTAACTGCATTACCCGAAAGCGATGTAAGGATGTATGTGTAATGTTGCGATGTCGTCGCACCGATTCGAGCGGAAATGACATGCTAAGTAAAAAAACATATCGTGTAACTATAAACATTAACAGCAAAATATCTTTTGCGAGGTGCTCCGGTGTGAACAGGTGAATTTAGAATACAAACTTTTTCTAAAATTTATAGTGGGGATTCTAATTTTATCGTGGATGTGAAGTTACCATAACTTTAAAGAATTATCACAAAAAAGCACTTATTTCAAAGTCTGATTATATTACAGACAAAAATGCTTGGGTTTGAACTGTTCCAATAATTCCAACAGGTTTTCTATATTAAATAAATCATAATGGTATTGACGTTGTAACAACATAATGATTTGTAAATGTTGTTACATTAGACTTTTAATGTTGTGGAGTTTTTTTCGCTTGTTTTTCTCCGCAGCTAAAAAATATTGGACATATTTTAATAACGAGTGTTAGGGAAAAAATTTTTTTTTTGCACGATTCAAAAGAGTTGTACTATACATCCAATTTGAATAAAGATATATTGATTTTTGATTTCTGACCAGCGAGTGTAACTATGCGCAGCTTTTAGTTCAGTGGAAGTGCGCTCCTATATCTTGTTTATTGTAATTGCACGCTATGTTGTCGAATATGTATTTATTTCACTTGGACGCTTTGGTTACTGGCCGCATACTAGCAGAAACATCGTTACAAATGATGACCATCTCACCTGGACACACTCTGGTAGTTCCAGTGGGTGACGGCGTGTAAGGCAGTGCCTGAGGGACCCCCCACTTCCCCCTCGAAGCCTGGCAGCAAGGGCATCACAATGTAAGCGCGGAATATGGAGCCGGAACGATGAGCGCGTCTTATGCGGTTGAATAGCGCCTCGCCTATCTGGACAAAGTTTTTTTGATAAATAAACAGAAAATAAAATGAGCGTTCATCAAAAAAGTTAGTAATAAGGCAGATAAGAGTAAAAGAGTCGAAGTGATCGGGCGGGAATCAAACTCCAGCAAGAGGTAGGCCTATTATGGTCCGTACTCTTTCTCTAATGCGCGTATAAATCAACGTGTGGACACTCAACTCAATTTGGATGGAATAAAATAAATATAATTTCCTTCGCATCTACTCGAAGTGATCTATCGAGCTTGCCTCGAGCGTCTATGTGTCCGTGTAATTGTGAGACTTGCTAAATGTAGCTCCTCTGTCTTCTTTGTTGAACAGACATCATTCGGCTCGAACGGTTCAGTGAATAATGAACTTCGCGCGCCACTCAATAAATGAATGCTGAATGTGTGGACCACAGAAGAGCAATTTTCTGGTCCATGGTGTGGATGAAAGTCGGTGCCCTATTTTTTACTCGACGTGTTTGCTCGATCGAGTAAAACCGTATGTCAGTACGGATCATTACATTTATTTAATTCTTTCCAGCCGGCTCAATGCGAGCTTACGAGTTGTGAATTTTGCAGTCCACACGTCAATTTTTACTCAATTTTGAGTAAAACTATCGAGTAATAAAGTATGTGAGTACGGACAACTTCCTTCTTATTAATAAACGAAGAATAAGCTCTGATTAGTTACTCCATGGCATTTGGCATTTGAGTTATATGAACAAAACACGGCGTAACTAGTCTAAGCTTATTGCTCGTTTATTAATACGGATACTAGAATAGAGATTATAGTTACCTGGACATTATTTTATTTAGATTAAAATTACATCTGTTGCTTAGAAACGTGGTGTCTACGTATGCTTTGTGGAGGCTCTGTTCCATAGTATCCGGGTCAAATACACTGCATAGTTATATGTCAATATATTGAAGAGGGTCTCGATGGCGCAGGTGGTTAGTGCTCGGTGTGCAGTGCAGTTCGGCTGCGATCGTTGAAGTTCAGCAACTTTCGCAGTGGTCGATCAGTTGATGGGTGACCGAAAATTTTCTGTCTCGAATTCCTCCGTGCTTCGAAAGGCACATTAAGCCGTTGTTCACGGCTGCACTTCAATCGTTAGCACCCGCCAATCCGCACTGGGCCCGCGTGGTTGGTCATTGGCCCAATCTCCCTATTCCATCCATTGGAAAGGCCTGTGCCCCAGCAGTGGGGACATTAACAGGTTGATGATGATATTAATAGTTACCTGGTTCCTAATGTACGTGTTGGATCGGGCCGGGGTGATGAAGAACTGGTTTTCTATGTAGACGTAGTGCTGGGCCCTGTTGATGGTGTCCACATATGCTTCGTGGATGCTCTGTTCCACAGTATCCGGGTCTAAGAAGCCACATGACCAGCTCGATACACTGCGGAGGACCTGGCAATATATTTATAACTATACAATACTAAAGAAAATTTTACTAGAAAAAAAACGAGCGAGCCTTACAGTAGTCGCGTATGATGTATATATAGCATTTGAAACCTCACCTTATATTAGTAAAAAAAGAAATAAAACCTACTACAAAAGGAATAAGCCATTTGAAAATTTCGTTCTAAAATCAAATCAAATAGCGCGCGCCTCCCTAACTTCCAGTTACACACATTGCAAGAAAGCGAGAGGAAAGATGTTACACATCAAAAACTAATCTGTCCAGGTAGCACATAGAACTCGAACTCGCACCTTCCACTATCGGGTCGGATGCACTGACCATTTACAACCTTACAACCTAAGAAGTATTAGAAGAAATTCGAAACGGCTATTAAGGTAACGGTGGCATAATTGGTCGGTACATCCGCCCGGATAGCGAAGGATGAGGGTTAGAGTCCCGTTTGTTGTCTGGACCGCGTAGATCTAGAACATCTAGCAGTTAAATGCTTAAAAATAGTATGTTCACAGATAGGAGCAAGTGACCGATTACCAACGAGGGTGTTGTTTGAGCAATAATACACCCAAGTTGTGAATAGCACTTATCCCTCATACATAATGCTTTATACATCGCAAGAAAGCGAGAGGAAAGATGTTACACATCAAAAACTAATCTGTCCAGGCAGCACATAGAACTCGAACTCGCTCCTTCCACTATCGGGTTGGATGCACTGACCATTTACAACCTTACAACCTAAGAAGTATTAGAAGAAATTCGAAACGGCTATTACGGTAACGGTGGCATAATTGGTCAGTACATCCGCCCGGATAGCGAAGGATGAGGGTTAGAGTCCCGTTTGTTGTCTGGACCGCGTAGATCTAGAACATCTAGCAGTTAAATGCTTAAAAATAGTATGTTCACAGATAGGAGCAAGTGACCGATTACCAACGAGGGTGTTGTTTGAGTAATAATACACCCAAGTTGTGAATAGCACTTATCCCTCATACATAATGCTTTATATTATACCTGCGAGGAAATAATAGATATATTATATATTAAAGTTGTTACAGTTAATAAAATTATGCATGGGGGCTTTATACTGTTTTCTTGATTTCACGGATAAAGGTTCTCAATAACTGCTTTGTCAGTTTCTTTTAAATCTCGAGTTGATAGGAAAACAAATTAAAAACTCAGTTAAAATAACATTCATTATAAGCGCGTTTTTTACTTTTGTTCTTAACAGCATAACGTTAATAAATAGATTGCAGTCTGCAAAATCATACTGACCATTTTGGAACATCAATAAAAAAAACCAGCACGTTTGACCAGGAGTTTTAATAGACTTTTCTGTCCACTCAGCGCGTTAAAAGTAGATTTCCTTACACTTTTCCAGCCCGCTTAGTAGTACAATAGTAATGAGGTCCTTTCTACTTCATTTTTAAAACAAGAATAAAGCACTTTCCGAGCAGCTGTAGTGTAGTATAAAAATATATTAAATATACAATTCTAGCACAAAGCACTCTCACAGAGTACATATGGCCATGTTACATGTCTATCAGGGTTTGCTTAGCGAAAGAAAATAACAAATCAGTAAGAGTCGGCAAAATTGCAATGGTTCACTTAAAGCTATTTTATTATCATTACAATTATTCTTATCCTAAAAACCTATCTTGCATTTCAATACATGTCCAGTTGTATGCAGTCCGCATAACTCAACATTTGTATGAAATTGAATAGTTGGTAGCATATTTTTTAATTGTGTATGTTGTTGGTCGCAGTTGACCTTTACAGCGTCACCGGGTTTGGGGGACGGCGAGATCCTAAGGGGACCTCAAGCCGAGAATTGGCGAGTGCCTCTAGAGATATTCCAGGCGGATGGCATCTGCCCACGGAGGGTCTCCTCTCCGTCTGGAGCCTCTAGACCACTCGAACCTGAGGGGGTGGGCTCAACTAGATGGCGTCTCTGAGACTCGAACGTCGGCTCTAGTTAGCCGTTGTCGTTGGGGGATAGTTGGTAGCATGAGGGGAGGGTGAGCGTTTTGTTCGGACACGTCAGTGTGACGTCACGGTCGCATGATTGGTTAGGAGCAAACTTGAGCTTTATATGTCTGAGGGCGTGAAACACGGACGCTTATGCAGTATTACTACATAAATTAGGAACATAATCCAAAAACACAAGTGCAGCGCCACCTATCGGGTCATGTAAATTTAAAGTACATTTTATAAATCAAAAGATAATTTAGCTTGAAAATAAAATCCATTTTTAGCAGTTCAATGCTTAAAATAAAAATAGAAGAAGAAAGAAGTTTTTTGATATTAAAAAAAATTTCAAGTTCAATTTCCCATCCATAGTCACTGATTCACGCTTTAAATAAAACTGATCAGAGTAAAAGACAATTCATTTTAGTTTTAAATTTTTGATCAAAGGTGTACTTTATCCCCCTTAATAATAAACGAATACTACGCTTGGATTGGTTACTCTATTGAATGACAAATTGCCTTTGAGTGACATGAACAAAAGACGGCGTAACTAGTCTAAGCTTATTCCTCGTTTATTAATATGGGGGGGGGGGGGGGGGGGTATGAGTTTGATGATTTTATTTTAATTACCTGACACGATACGTTTGTGATGTCGACAGACAAACGCGCTTGCAGATCACGCAGCGGCTTGATGTCTGCATAAGACTTTGGTAACAAGTACGGGTAGTTTGTGTTTTGCCTGCAAAATAGATTTTTATTTATTAATTGTTCCTCCACAAATAAGCAAGATTCATGGGCTTCCTTTATAAACAAATGTGATTGAAAATATTATTAATCTATGTTTACATATAAAAAAAGGTAGGAAAGTCAAAACTGTACATTGAATATTTTTTTAAAAGAATACTTGGGGTGTGATCTACAATGGATACCGAAGCCAAAAATACAGTTTTTATAATTTTTGTCCGTTTGTCTGTATGTGTATCAGGGATAAACTCAAAAAGTTCTGCATAGATTAACTTCAGATTTGGCACGAATATTATTAAGAAGTCGGGTCAACATATAGGCTACATATTATCCCGCTATCACCTACGGGGAACGAGCTGTGAACCTTTATTTCTAACTAACTCCACGCATACGAAAATGACTACCCCATCTGATGTTAAGTGGTGATAAAGTCTAAACGCGAAGATAGCTGGTACAGTAGTTATAAACTGCTACACCAACAACCATCCTCACCTTGTCGGCCTGCAAAAATGCTTCTTCATTGATATATTATATTAAATCTTCCAAACATTATATCAAAGGTAGGATACGCAACTTTGTCTATGTAAAAAGAAACATTTTTGATACATAATTTCCTCCCCTATTTGAATTTTAGAATGTTGGTGTGTTTCCAAAAAAATCAAATTTCCAAAATCCAATATCTTTTAACGTTATGTTATCGTATGTGTATCTTTTGTAATATTTACCGCGCTTTCTCCAATTTGATAGCGTTCCATCGTTGTATGAAATGTCTAGCGATGTCTCTCGCGGCCGCGTCTTGCACGACGACGCCGATGTCGTGCCAAGGCATTCTAGGCGTTGAGTGTCTGTCAACTAAGTCTGAAATACGATAACAGTATGTGAGCCTCGTTTCAGCAGGAATCCAAGCAACCAAAAAAATTACTGAACATAATACGTGCATTCCTTTAAGAAGTGTTCGATCCGGTCGGAAATTACTGTTTTTCTGTATTATCTGACATTATAACTTTTCTACCTTTAAGTAAAGAAAAAAGCCATCACGTATTAAACATATATAAGTAGAGATCAGTACCCCTAGCACGAACAAATATCGAATTCGTATCGTTTGCGAGTCCGAAATGTCATTGTCAAATGTGTACTGATTTTTAGTTCTCGTTACGTACTTTGTGTCGCTGCTGTTCAAGTTTCCATACAAAATTTGACATTGACATTTCGGTTTCCAAACTATTCGAATTCGATAATGGTTCGTGCTAGGGGTACGGATAATCGAATGCATTTTAAACTGAAGTTGAGATGTTGGCTACTATGGAAAGCATTTTTAACGAAAAACTCCCGCAATTTCGGGAAATTAAATTTTAAGTGTATACTTAGTGAAATCTTATAAACCCAGTTTGTCGCAAATGACAATTGTCCTGTTTATAACATAAGAATATTGTGTAAGATGTAATTAATGAACACATAAAATCAATTTCATTTATGCTTTCTTAATAACTACACCACCATTTCTCTTACACCTCACAAACACATATTCGAATCGAAAATTAAACTTGTAAGTTTAAGTTATACATTCGAATAGTTATGTGATCCCGGAATCCCGAGATTTTATTTTTAATAAGAATATCCTAAGAAACCTCTTCCATAATAGTCCGGGAGGCACCAATCCTGAAAGCTCCGTGATCACGGATTTCTAATATTTTTAATAAAAAATAAAAGTTAACGTTTAGATGAACACGATTTGCTTGGTCGGCGTGGATTTGATTGGCCGGAAATATTTTAATAAAATTATTTATTATTGAATTTCCATATTTTTTTTCCGTCATCACGGATTTTGATCAATCTTACATAGAATTGTTTTTTTGACATAAGTCACTATACTATATAAATTTTATAATATTAACATAATAAGACTTCAATCCGTTATTAATGTCACGACTTTTTTAGCATCATGTACACTTATTCACTTTATTTCAAAGTACATCGACGAAATCGGCCCTAGCATGCCCAAAAGAATGTCCTTCACTATTATTTTTCTAATATTTTTTTAACTTATTAGCAATTAAGCATAGTTAACAGACAATTTGTTTAAGAAAATAAATAATAAAAGTACTGTTACTAGATACTACAGTCTGTTCATTCTAACTTGTCCTATTTGGTAAACAATCTTGGCACTCCTATTTTATGAAAATACAGCATTATTTTTTTTATTTTAACGATTTATTTTAATAGTTTATTGGCTTCGTTATTATTTTATTTTTAAATTGGTGATTTTTTTTAAAAAGTTGTTCCAAGATTGTTTACCTTAATAAACGCAATATAGGCGACCTTAGGTATTTAACAAGTTAACAACAGTTAACAACATAAGAATATTTATAAAAAGATTTAGAAGAAGTAGTTTATACTCTCATCCCATTTATATGTTTATTTTTATGAAAATCATAATGATAACCAGGCACATACCTAATTACCGATAGTAAAATATAGAAACAAGTAACAGGAAAGACTGAACATTTCATTTGAAAATAAATATATTATTACAGCAGGTAGATATAGGTATCATAGGTGCCAACTGCCAACACTCATAAATCAATATGAATATAAGCATTTATTATTTTTATTATTAATTGCATTTTATGTTCATTTAATGCATATTATTTAAGTGTTTACATAGAGGTAAACACTAAATCTATTCAGAATATATAAAGTGTATGTTATTTACGATTAATTATAATAATTACCTCAAAATCTAATACATTCTGTAGTAGGCCACGGTTCCTCAAGTTGTCCGTATCTCAACAAATGCCTAATAGAGTTTATGATTAATTCCGAACACAACTAGCAATTTCTCATTGTGCGTTCTAGGGCATTCAATGTATGGGGAACGAGCAATGTCCTTTATTTTCATTCAATATCTACTCAGGAATCACGGACCCTAATAATAAAGGCTTACAAGTTCCTGGGCTAGGAGTTGTGTCCATTTTCGTATGAATAAACCAAGACTTATTGATGTGTAACATCTTTCCTCTCGCTTTCGTGCAATTTGTGGGAGTGATTATGTGAAGTAACGGAAGTGTGTAATGGGAAGTTTGGGAAGCGCGCGCTGTTTGATTTGATTTTAGAACATAATGTTCATATGGCTTGTTCCTTTTGTAGTAGGGTTTATTTCTTTTTTTACTAATATAAGGTGAGGTTTCAAGTGTTACACATCATACGCGAATACTGTAAGGCTCGCTCGTTTTTTAAACTCTCTATATATTTATCTACTAGCTATGACACGCGCACAGTGTTTTATGGAACCAAAAAAACTTACACCTTAAGATTTTTGCATAAATCAATTATTTATACCCTAATAAAGGCAAGAGTTCAATTCTCAGATCACTATTTCCAGTAAAAAAAAAGATATGAAGTAGCAAAGTTTTTGAAATTTGAGCATTAAAAAATTAACAATTTAATTTCCTCAAAAGACGGTTCCATATCTGTACATGAGATATTTGCCACTTGATAAGGAATTATTGAAGGCATAATTTTGCAATTTTATTTTATTTATAAGTGTCCTAGTTTCCGAGATATATTTTTTAATTTCGATTTTTAATTTTTTTCTCCAAATATCGGCAAAAGTGGAACCTGGATTTAGTACAGAAAGGTTCTATAAGCCAAGTTCTATCACACATAAAAAAATCAGGTTTCACTTTTGCGGTTTTAAGAAGTTATGAGAGAATTTAGATAAAGGTCAACTTTCATGATCTAGGATTGTCACAAAGGTCAACTATGAGTTAAATGAAAATGTTAAATTTTTTGTTTGTTAATTAATACCGTCAATCAATTGAATAAATAAACAACACTTGTGGACGAATATAATATACTTACATATACTAGGTACCTACCTAATGTAGATGTGATAATGTAGGAATACTTTATGTTTGTTCGACCACATTTTAACTTTGTACCTTACACGCTAAACGGTAACGAAAAAATGAACTATGTTGCTTGAAAAAAATTTCAAAATTCATTCAGAATCATTCAGGCATTCGATCAGAAAATAAAAACAAATCTTGGGCATAAATCAGTTAGAAGGTGTAACTATTATTGTTACAAAAAAAAAACGTAGAGGTAAGCAGGCATGAACTTGTGTATAAAAATATAAATTTATATTTTAAAAATTTTCGTTCGAGGTCAGGTTCGGTGTCAACCCTAGCATAAAAATTTAAAAATGAATATCTTCTAATCGCCGCAAAAGTGACACATGGCTTATTTATGTATGAAAGACCACATCCAAAAGTGGAACCTAGAACTTCGATAGAAATAAACTTTCTATCGAAGTTCTAGGTTCCACTTTTTCGTTTTTAGGGAGAAAAACAATAAATACGAAATACAAAAAAAAATTGCTGCTCCCAAACCAATGCATTTTTTTAAGCTAAAGAAACGCGTTTATACGCCTTTGATTATGCCCGATTGACACATATTTATTAAAAAAATATATTGTTAATATTCACTTTATAAAAAAATATTCTAGATTTCATAGGTCAAAGGTCACGATAAGTTCATGATTTTTTTTCTCAAAAAGTATTTGAGTTAGACTTCTGCGAATTGAACTCATGCCTTTTTTAGGGTATAAATAATCTATTAATGTAAATATTTTCCTGCAAAACGTAGCCTATTTGTTAATCCAGGATGTCAGCTAAGTCCACACCAAATTTTATTAAAATTGCCCCAGCCGTTTAGACGTGAAGTAACCACCAATACAGTCACAAACTTTCGCCTTTATAATATTAGTGTGATGCAATTTGTTAGTGGGAAATTATGTTGATAAAGCAAAATATAGCACTCACCTACAAAAGGCAGATCTAAATTATTGAAGTCTTTAACGATAAAATTAGTGTAGTCCTTGCCGATCCACAGCTTTGAGTTACCCTCTATGCCCTCCAAAGCATCCTTAGTTCTCTCCGTTATGACTCTTCCTTCGACCACTTGAGCTAAAGGCGTCGGTTGACATACACTTCTGCTTATATCAGCAGATTTAATACCGAAAGCTTCAGTCAACAAGACTTGGTCATTGGACATGGCGTATTTTTGTGCTTTTTTTCTTTCGGAATTGTCGAATTTCTGCTCGTTCCTCTCTTCTTCGTAAGGTGGGTATATTATACTGATGATGTCTTTCCCTCGGTCCGTTATTTTGTCGATCACGTTTCGTTTTTGCACCTCGTGCGTGTCCGAAGTTGCTGAGTCTTGTGATTGGAAGGGTTTAGTCGAGTTTATGAGTAATTGGTCGCCTGGCTCTAATACTGGTAAGTCTGATTGGGGAGTGTTAACAGTGTTGTTTTGTTCGTCGTTATTGCCATTCGAAGTTTCTTCGGATTTCTCTATCGGTACGACACTGGAAATAAGAGTAAGTGAAATTACTAAAGTTGAACAAAGCAGTATCAATTATTTTTAAACTTTAAATCATACTTCAAAACATTTATTGTGTTACGTAGCTACCAGGGTTGTTGCGAATGCAAGTTTCCGCGGATGCGGATGTCAGTATATTATAAAGATAATTCAATTTTAAGTTCTTAAATAAATGTAAATTGATATAATTTCAATGTTCATTTATTCATAATAATATTTCTATATTTTTTCCATAATATACAACGGCTTTCGAAACAAAATCGTAAAATATCTGGAAACAGATTTAACCGCAGTGCCGCGGGACGCGACGTGAATAATCTCGATAAAGATCGAGTAGTACGCCTCATTCTAATATGAGCCCTATGCAGTGGGGCATACGGGTGAAAGTGCAACGACATCTGCATTTGATAACAACTCATGCGCGTTACCTACGTATAAGTAGGTACTCTACCTACTCGGTGGTGCTAGTCAACGCTCAATTTCACTAGACTTTTCTAGAATGCGTCGATTGGCGTATACATGGAGGTTAGAGAGAAGGAGAACGATCGCTACGTACAAAAGCATTAGCCCGCACGTCCCTGAAAATTTGTAGAATTTATAGTTCATTTTTCAGCCACTAGCCGCGCTGCCGTCGGTAAGTAGTATCTGTGAAGTTAGCTGTTTATAAGTACAAGTAGATGAAGTTAGTTGAATATTGTACAAATAATTGTTCTACGCGGCATTGGTCATTTCAAATTAGCTCGCTTTTATTGAGACAACTTAGCGATCGCAGCGCCTCACTTATTTTGTCAATATTTCTGGGACACTATTTTCTACAGCGATCGTTCTCCTTATCTCTAACCTGCATAGGCGTATATAAGCGCGTTCGCTGCCGCGCAATGACAGTTTAGTTTCAACTTCGATTTCCAAACGAATACAAAGGCGATCAAAGTGCAAGTAAGGTGTTCAAGTGCGATTGTTTAAAGATTAGTACACTAAAGATTGTACAGTGAGTTTAGAACTGTTTCTTTATGATGTGTGAACTGTGTGGTGAATAAAGAATTGTCAAGCTTGAACTGGCATATAATTTCGAACAATATTAAAATGCGAATAGATGTCTGAATTCATGTGAATATTCCGCATTTGCGGATGCAACTATCCGTAACACGCCTGGTAGCTACATCTAAACAAATCTAAATAATATATGGGTGAAATGAAACTAACAAGGAATTCTGATTAATTGGATAATTCTTTTGCAATTTCCTGGGCTATCTTTCACAGGAACGGCTCTTGGATTGTTAACATTTGGTCCGAAAAATCATGTGTCGGTAGAGGAAGATTCATCATCGGAAGCGGAGACGTAACAGCAATGCATCAGTCGCCCCGTGACCACGACCGGTGTAACCTGGTCCAAAAGTCGGGATAAAAAGAAGGTTCGAAAATCTTTATTTAAGTGCGCGTTTTAATCTGTAAAATATTCTTTAACGCATTTACCAAAAATGCATTACACATTGTTCGAAAGTTCAAAATTACGGGAACTACAACAGTGCCGTAACTAGCCTTTTATGCACCCAGTGCGAGCTTTCAAAACTGCGCCCCTGAAAAATGCTCTAACCAGGCTCTGAAAATAAAATTGACAAATGTGCATACAAATAAATCTATCTATTTATTGTTAACCAAAGTATGTAAGTACCTACTTAGTATATTTCTTTAAGATAAAAATTGTTTATTCAAAAATAGTTGCTCAAATACAGAAATGAGTACTTACTTTAAGATTACTTAAAGATTTACTTTCCTCGCTTTTCTCATTGCGAAGTCCTTTATTACATTTTCATATGACAGGAGCCGTGCTATGTCGCGTTCAATCGACAAAATTGCTAGGCCAGACAATCTTTCTTGACCCATCGTCGAGCGCAGATACGTTTTTATTAATTTGAGCTTACTGAACGATCTCTCGCAAGAAGCTACAGTCACTGGCATCGTTAAAAATATCTTTAAAACGACTACTATATTGGGAAACATTTCCTTTAAATCCAGTTCCACTATAGCTTTGAGAAGACCCATACTTGACTGACATTCACAATTATCAAATAATGTAGTCGCTTCAACTTGACTCTTCAAAGTTTCTATTTCGGACCAAAATTCTGTCGCATTTATATCTGCAGAATATTTGATGCTCAAATCAGCTGCATATTTTTTTAGTTCTTCAACCGAATATGTAGTAATGTGTTTTAAGGTCAAAAAACCGAAAGAGTTATGTATGTCGCGTAGTTTTTCGAATCGCCATTTTAATTCAGAAATGATTGTATCTATTGCTTCATTTATCTGAATTTTGAAACTTTGTTGCTGAGTAATGTCGTAGCCGGAGTCTGAACTTTCAATTAAATCGTGTCTTTTTACTCGCTTTCGTCGCTTTTCAGGAAAATTGTCTTCAATGCCACATTGTTCACAAATCTTTTTTGCCTTTTCGAAAACAATGTCTATAGTCTCGCGAATATTTTGTATCTGGTTTGTTAATCCCTTTATTAATTCAGAAGCTTTGTCGATAGTCATAGTTTTAGACTGTAGAGCTACATTCACTTTGTCAACAGATTCCAAAATTTTATCCCAAATTTGGAGAGTACATATGAATTTATAATTAATTTGGTCCATTATGCTTTTAGCTGTAGAAATTGTTTCAGCATTGTAATCATTGGTAGTTTGAATCTTTAGCACACACCAGATTTGGGGTATTTGCGAGTTCAAAGCTTTGACAGCCCTAGCTTTAGAGGCCCATCTAGTGTCGGCGTGTTTTTTCAAAGAAATATTTAAGTATTTCATTAAAGTTTCCCATCTGACCGTTGAACTCGAAAAAAACACAAATATTTTCTGGATTAATCCAAAAAATGTGATCATGTCAGGTGTGACACTAGCAGCGTGTACGCCAGATAAATTCAAAGAATGCGCTGCACACGGCACATAATCAGCATTTTCATTAATTTGTTTTATTTTGGCTTGGACTCCGTTATATTTACCGGCCATATTACTACCATTGTCGTAGCCTTGGCCACGAAGATCTTGAATATTCAATCCATCAACTTCTAATTTCTCTAAAATCTCTTTCGACAATCCCTCGCCCGTTTTTTCATGAGACTGGATGAAATCTATGAACCGTTCTTCGATTGTAACTTTCTGCTCGGATACTTTTACGAATCTCAATATTTGTGACATCTGTTCTTTATGCGATACGTCTGGCGTACAATCAAAAAGTATGGAAAAGTATTTTGCCGCACGAACATCGTCTAAAATTTGTTTTTTGACCTCAGAGGCAAGAATATCTATAAGCTCGTTTTGAATATAAGGCGTAAAATATGAAATATTTCCTTTATGAAGCGATTCAATATGCGCTCTAAGTTCAGGGTCGAATTTTGAAATCATATCGACGGCACTTAAGAAAACTCCAGATCCTGATTCTCCAATACGCTCATGAGAGCCTCTGAGCGGTAAATTATTTTCCGCGCAAAACAAAAGTATGTTGGTACACACTTTTAAAATATGTCTCCACTTATTTGTTTCTTGATCAATAGCCTTTTGTAAGGATGCATCTATTGTGGTCTTACGTTTTATTTTCTGTTCAAGCATTTTCCACTTAATACAATTTTCTCTATGAAATGTAGAGTTTTCGTGCTCAGGAATACGTGGACTTAAATGACGCCAATCATTAAATCCTTTTTGTGCATCAGCCAGGGCCGGCATTATTTGCTTAGTCGAGGAAGAACCGAAAAGTATACATGGGAAACAAAATATTGCATCTCTTTTTTTACTGTAAATCAACCAAGACCTGGGTACCATCTCGCCATTGCTCATTTTTTTTGTAAACCAATGTATATTAAATTTTCGTCCTGCGTCTTCAGTTGAAGAAATATTTTGACTTACTTTTCCTTGATCAGGACCTTTCTCGACAAGGAAACAACGAATGTGATCAGTTAATGGTAACCATGAAACAGGATCGTTTATGTCTAACTGGATCTTATCAGTAGCAGCTGCTTTTTCAATTTGAATTTCAGAACTTGGACTGGTGGTGATGGGTAAGGTCAAGTCTTGCTGGGATGGGTTGACTGGGTTGTCTTCTTTTTCTTTATATATTATCTTTAAATTGTTTCCAGATTTAGTTCCAGACATACCAGTGAGGGCCAAAACGTCATCATTGGACACATCTTCCTGACTGTTTTCTTGTTGTGTGACTGTCCACTTTCGTAAGGTATTTTCCATTTTTTTTGCTTCCATCTCTCTAACGCGTTTTCTCTTACGAAATTCAGAACCAGATGGACGTTTTTGTGACATGTTGTTTGTTATAGCGTGAGTCCTTAGCTTACGGTAACCGACAGGTAATATTTCTGAAAAAAGAATCGCGAATCACGCCTAGTCTGATAAGTATATAATACAGGGTGTAAGTGACACCCTAGTGAAAACTATAACCAAGGCTTTAGACCGTCATCCTTAACAACCTACAGCAAGAACCGACCTCTCATACAAAATATTCAAATTGGTCGCTGATTTTGTACGAGAAGTCAATTTTTTTTTTTATTTCCGACAAACGTTCTTGCTGTACGATATTTAGGATGATGGTCTGAAGCTATGGTTAAAGTTTTCGCAACGCTGTCACTTACATCCTGTATATGTAGTTCGGAAAACTTCGTGTTTCGGCTATCTTACTAGCCATTTTTTCGTTATTTTTTTTTATTGTTTATTATTGAGGGATTTTCAGACAGCAAATTAAAAAATAAAAACTATCGTTCAAGGATTGATCAAAAGGTGACATGTATGTCAAAAGCAAATATACGCTTTCTTTACGTAAAAGCCGAAAAAGTAATATTTATATGTCGTTCAATCAATAAATCTTTATTTTTGACATACCACACGCATAGGGCACCATCTCTATAAGATCTTATATTCTCTTTTTTTAATTTTCTATCTGAAAATTCCTCATTAGTACTTGACTTCACTTTGCCTGATGGACCTTAAATCTTTAAATACAATTTTCTAACTTACCCAAACGAGTTTATCAACGAACAACAAATCAACAATAACCTTATTCACTCTCACACACAATTTTACTTTAAATTAATGTCATTTTATACGAATAATGACAATAGTTGACAAAACAATCAATAACTATAACCTCCGCTACGGTCGGCCAATTGAATGCGTATTAGCGATGTATCGGGGAATCCCCGAACATTGGGACGGCGGCGCGGCGCGGCATGATCGATGCGTTCAGATATTAATGAATATTGGATGCGTTCTTAAAAGGACAAGTTTACATAGTAACTATTTAGTAATTTTTAGTTTAGCTCTGTCATGTGTTTTACTTTTTGTTTTATTTTTATAAAAAAATAAAAATATTTTTATTGGAGATTTTTTTGTTGTGAGATATCATTGAAAATAACGGTTTATGTAGGTACTTTTGTTTATGTATGTCATATTGCCAGCAAGACTTAAGGTGGATATACATTTGTCTGATGTATCGTGACGTGACGACTGACGCGTCAGAACTGTATCGGTTCCATACATAAACCATCACAACACGTTAAGCAGTAGTGTGAACGTTACCATACTAAATGTATAAAACCGATAATCCACCTTTACATGTGTTGTTGTTTCAAGATCGCTTGAAAATGCGATTTAAATATAACTATAGATAGTACAGTAGGGCGCGTCTACACCATGTTCGCAATAAAACAAAATGTACCTACTAGCTACCATGCATGAGATAAAAGTAGATACTAGTCTGGTCATTTCTGCGCCCCTCCAGGGTCTGCGCCCTGTGCCTGGGCACTGCTGGCACCGCCTTAGTTACGGCACTGCCCTACAACGTAGCGTGCGGTAAACGTTTTACCGCACGCTCTTATACATGGTACCGCGTGTATTCTTTACGGCTTTTTTTTAAATTTCCGTTGAATCTCATCGGAAGTGTTTTTAATCTACACATCTGTCTCATTTTAATACTAAAAGAAAAAGAGACGAAAGCCGTAGTTCTTCTCACCACCAGCACATGGCGCCATTTTCTTATTAGGAAAAGTTTGCTTCATTACATACATTAGATATAAATACTGTTTTCTCGCAAATGTATTGAACAACGTTGTATGAAATTCGTGCGCAATGGGTATTTACAAACTCGTGACTATGATAAGCCTTACTTACATTCGTCTACTCGTTTGTTATAACCAACTTACAGCACTAATATCATAAATAACTAATACTTAATGCAACGCGAAAGTTAAAAAGTGTATTAGGTCAGCTCCGCTATCCTAAAGCAGACATTAAAATAAACATGTTTTGAAAACCGTTTAAAACTATGGAATTTAGTAATAGCATCCTGATATACTTACTCATTCAATCCTATGACTATGTCCCTGGAAGAGCGCGCTAGTTCTAATGCAGCTTCTATACCGTTTGCTTGCGGTATATAAAGTCCCCCACCGGGAGAACTAGACGTTTTCTTCTTAGTCTTTATGGAAGTCTGTGTTTGCGATATGTTTCCCAAGTCAGTCAGCCTGTTGGTGAACTTAGGTATATAGGTATAAATGTAAGAAAAGGGGTAAATAGAACCTAAAGATGATAATCGCTTATGCCCGATTTGGATATTGAGAAGAGATTGTATGACTTATCAAGATAGGAGTGCAAGCGATAATCGACTTCTGCTGCAGACCACTAATTCGTGTTCAACATGTTATATTTAAAGATTGAACCCCTTTCGAAGGCATACTACGACAGTGGAATGTATGCTTTTGTATAGAGTTTGAGTCATACCTCAACATACAATATTTGGATATATGTATATGTTTTTTATTCAGAGAAATTAAGAAAGTTGTCAGTATATCGACCACAAGTTTCTGAGTAATACTATTCTGTCAGTAGTCTGTCTTATTCCTTATCCCACCATAATTTTTTTTTTTGGATAAAATTTTTGTTATAATTTTAAAAGTTTAAGCATGTGATTGCTTGATGTTTAAATCTAAAGAAAATATAACCAGAAAAAAATCCACGCGGACCAGGCAGCAGACGGGACTCGAACCAGCACTCTTCGCTATCCGGGCGAATGCACTGACCAATTATGCTACCGCGGCCCTGATAGCCGCGTCGAAATTTTGATTTAGATTAGTCCCGTCTGCTGCCTGGTTTGCGTGGAAAGGACAATGTTCTGCGTCCATACATTGTTAGCCTAAGAACCAACAATCATGAAATATTATTTTCTAGGTTCGAAATTGCAAGTGAATGACTGTAAAAACAAAGATTATTGACGGACACTTCTGGGGACTTAAATTATCAGGAAAACTAAATAATTTTTGAGGTTATGTTTAATATTAAATTAATGAAACATAGGTCAACCTATGAACTCAGTATAAATTGAATTAATATTACAACTAATTAATTTTTATTCGGTGCGATTTTAAATAATATTAGGAAAAACTCGGTGAGGTAGGAATCATGAATAAAATAAAAACTGTAGTTTTGCTTCTTATTTTTTGACCATTTTTCACATAATTACATATCATATATTGTATTTATTTGTAAATCACATGTATATTGTGTAAATATGCAGCGTGAATGTGTATCAGGTGTTCTTGAATAATTTGGCTATTATTATTGATTAGATCCTCTCAGGATGTGGCACAGGTTCACTAGCACTTGGTAATAAGGGCTCTGCTCTTTGGTAACATCGATGGCATATTAGATAGCCGAAATACTTAAATTAAAGGAAAAACAATCGCAAATAAACACACACACAACGGGTAATTCGAAAAGAGAATGCATGAATGCCACAGATTACTTCGAATGCAAACTGCCTGCACCACAACCACAGAGTATCGCGTTTTATGCCGGCCCTTTACTTGGCAACAGTTTGTCCTTGTCATGCTTAATAAGGAATAAAAAGGACAGACTGATGTCAAGTTTTCAAAAAGCAAACACAAATAGCCAAGTGCCGGCATTAGGAAGAAAGAGTGTTTTGTTTGCAGCGCTGTCATAGATTATACACAAAATGGTAGTCTCAGATTATTTTTTAACTTTTTAATATAACTTTTTAACTTACTTAACTGGAAGTGTCTGTTACAAACTACATACTGATATTTATCGCAAAAAATATACTAAGATTTATTATAAATGCCAAATTGGTGTTGGTTCTTAGGCCAAATTTAACATTATCCTTTTTTGATTTTATTTTTTTATTATACATCACACAAAAATACATACAACCCTAAATTTTCACCTTTCTACCACCAAACCCTTTTTTTGGTGGCGGTACGAAGCTCGCTGTAAAAGCTAGGTTAAATAAAACACTTCGACGATCACTCAGTCCACCCTGTGTTTAACTGCACTAACCTGTGTCTATGGTCGTCCCATCGTCCGTAGCAGAGGTCGATGCCCCCAACGAAGGCAACAGTTTGGTCTACACATACTATCTTCTCGTGATGCGCCCAGAAAAATACGCCGGCTCGCGCGTGGTCTGGGTGACGGAAAACCTACATTATAATGCAATTGTTAGAGGTCAGTTTAGATTGTATGCTAGATTTTTTCATCTATATAATAATCTAAATTATAAAAATGCTAAAATTATTATTCACGATGCTTTACAAAATATGTCCTACGTATCATACAGTTGATGTCCTTTTCAAAATGAATACTACAGTATATTTAATGTATGGTATATCATAATGCTAGCTATAGTTAATTATTGTTTTGGTTCTATATTACAAATTATAGTTTTGATTATTGTACATACATAGTTGTAGAAGACTTTTGCCTGAAACACAGGTCTACCTAGTTCAGGCTATAGTATACGTTACATATCTTTTGTTATTTCTACAATTAAGTAATTTATTGTTAACTGAAATTCAATAAATATTTATAATTATTATCTGTATCATGTCGCAGCGCACGTATCAAAGATCAATTTGGTTTGTATGCAAGATTTTTGTATGTATCTTATGTTGTAGCAAAGTATTGTATAACTAGTGTCATTAAATAAAGTATTCGCTAATGACGATGTAAGACATGCTGTCCCTCTCGCACATGCTGTACTAAGTATTTGAAAATGTTAAAAATGCACGGAAATCATTATAAACTAGTTGTTTTAATGACCTTGTATTTTTTGCATTCTATGATTTGAAATTGAATTTTATCAAAAAGAAAGATATAAATTCAACAATAATCTATTATCATTTCAAGTTATAACTAACATTATATTTGTTAACTCAAACATCAAACAGAGTTTTATGAAATTTTCCATTTATATAATTTAAGAAGTTGATTGTATGAAATACCTTGATATTGTCACTGGCCAGTCTGCTCTTGCTGTAAAAGCTATTGATGCCGAGTGCCATTTCAACTTCTTTGTACAGCATTATAAATACTTTCACTCCTTGCTCCTGTTTAGAAAAAAAAAACATATCTGAAAGTACATCAAGATCACATATTATTTTAAATTTAATGTAAAGAAAATAGGCTTTATTGCAGTGAAACTTCTTTAGGCAGGCTTGACTTGGGGGGTAAACTGTCGAATGTGTTACGATTTCGCGGTACGATTAGTGTCATCGGTGACTCATCGGCAAACAATGAACAATGCCCCTCTCAAAATACATGAATATAGTGCTTGGTGGATGATAACGGACCCAACACGGATTGGTGGGCGAAAACGGACCCAGTGCGGATTGGTGGATGATAACGGACCCAGTGCGGATTGGTGGGTAATAAGGGACCCAGCGCGGATTGGTGGGCGATAACGGATCCAGTGCGAATTGGTGGATGATAACGGACCCAGTGCGGATTAGTGGATGATAACGGACCCAGCGCGGATTGGTGAGTGATAATGGACCCAGTGCAGGTTGGTGGTTTTTTTTCTATCAACAAATCTTCAGGTTAAGTTTATGATTTTCAGATCATTGGAGCTAAAGAAGTTTCAATTCAGTGGTGTGGTTATAAGCACGCTCTTTTTTTAAATAGATTTCATTTCTGACTTAGATATAGAAAATGTAATATACTTAAAGCCTTCCTCTTCAGAATGTAGTCCAGCCGCCAGTAGTTGCCGTCTACGGTGGGCCGCTTCATATAGATCTCGGGGCTGAGCCACCAGTCCGCTATGAAGATCTCCTCCTGAGCCAGCTCCATTGACTCAGCGACGGCCGCCATGTATGAAGACAATATATTTACAGCCTTCCCCTTCAAAATGCAGTCCAGCCGCCAGTAGTTACTCAAATAGATCTCGGAGCTGAGCCACCAGTCCTCTATGAAGATCTCCTCCTGAGCAGCTATATTGCCTCAGCGACAGCCTCCATGTATGAAGACAATATACTTACAGACTTCCTTTTCAGAATGCAGTCCAGCCGCCAGTAGTTGCCGTCTAAAGTGGGCCGCTTCATATAAATCTCGGGGCTCAGCCACCAGTCCGCTATGAAGATCTCCTGAGCCAGCTATATTGCCACAGCGACGACCTTCATGTATGAAGACAATATACTTACAGCCTTCCTTTTCAGAATACAGTCCAGCCGCCAGTAGTTGCCGTCTAAAGTGGGCCGCTTCATATAGATCTCGGGGCTCAGCCACCAGTCCGCTATGAAGATCTCCTCCTGAGCCAGCTCCATTGCCTCAGCCACGGCTGCCATGTATGAAGACCCGTCCACGAATGTGCCAGCCGGTGTGGAGGCGCGGGGTGGAGCGAACGAATGGTGCACGTTTGGGCAGGTAAATGCGCGTGCTAAATGATAAAAGAGAATTGAAATTCGAAACTAGGGAAACCTATACTAATAATTGGCCCTCTTGCATTTATATTAAAATATAAAGAAATTCATATATAAAAATACTGAAAAAGACATCTTTTTATTTTTCTATGATGGCAATTTTTTATCATTCAGAAAAAAAAATGTTCTACAATGGCATTTTTTTGAAAAACAAATTGTGATTGACGCGGTTTCTCACGTGCTAAGAAATCGCAGCCATTAAGTGATAAGTATGCCTTAACATTGTTTGTTGTGTTGTGTTTTCTTTTTGACTTAATTTTCATTTTAATTTTGATGAGAGTTTTCAATATACTTTAATTCATATTAATATTGAGCGTTTTAAAGTGTTATTATTGTGTTACTTAATTAGCATTGTGGAAACAAATCCAATAGAAAACTAATAATGAATTTACTGCACATAAACAAATGAAGAATTCCGCTAAAAAGCGCCAATCATTATAAAGTATACCCTATAAATGCTGTAAATAAAATACCACTAAAAAGCCTCCCCTGGCATAGGCGGTGGTGGTTTACATTGGCGCGGTGACGATCGCATGATTTTGATAAAATCTGTGCAGTTAGCAATAAACGTTACGAGCGGTGAAAGCATGCAATCGAGGGGAACCGCACGCAAATCAGGTCTTGGCCGCACTTATTTGAAATGCTCGATATTACTCCAAGTACGAACTTTGACAGATCCGTATTCATATCGCCTACGTCTATGGAAACTATCTAGCGCCCCCACCAGGCGTAAGAACAAACTGACTTTTTCCATAGAAACTTTAGATTGCCTCTGTGTGAGGGCGTTCAAGGGTGAGGCGGCGTGAACGAATAGTGCTCGTTAGGATATGTTAACACGAGAACTGGACGTTCAAAAAAAAACGAAAGGAAAATGCTATTAAACATGATGGAAATTAATTATCACTTTGACGACGACAACGACGAATGTGCTTGTTTTCACTACGGGGCAATGGCAAAAATTTTGTGGAAAACCGTAAAATCCTTAGAAAATAAAGAGTCCTATATAGCCACGGTAAAAAAATTACAATTTCAAATAATAATGTAATTAAGTACGCACAAAATTGACTGGTTTTATTTTATTTTAGTCTGTGCGTGTCCTCGCTGGGATAGGTTCATAATCGGGTTCTACAACATTATTTACCTGTTTCGTTAGCGGCAGACTTGAAGTGCTGCATCCACTCCTTGCTCTTTCGCTTGGTCCAGCACTTGATCACCATCTGGCGGCTCTGGTTGAGCAGCTGGAGTCCGTGGTTCATTCCCGTCGAGTACATGCCACTCGAGACTTCGAACCTTGGGTGATCAATGAATTTCAGATAGATTGAAGCCGCTAAAGTGGTGGAAATCATCTAACATGTGTGTTTACTCATTTAGATTAACTATAGTAATCGTATTATTATTCTAAAGTCATCAATAAATGTTAAAATCTTTGATTATATATAAGCCTAGATACCGTATTAAGTGCACGGAAGCACTATATATATTATATGCGACAAAAAACATTTATAAACTGTCGTGACTTCGATTATAGTTTGGATGTTATACCTCCCGGCAAACTTCTTATTGCAACGACCTTAGACATAGCAGATTACGCAGTAGCAATTTCAGTGGTTTGTATTAGCGCGGTGACAGACAGGTGACAGTTAATAAACGTATGTATTTCCGTGCTGTTGTTCATGTTGAGTTTTCCAGTAATTGTTTTTGCACTATGCTGAGAATTGTTACATATAAGGGTGATTGTGTAAGTTAAGGTGTAAAAATGTTGGCAGACCTTTAATAAATAATTAAAATGGCGTCTTGACCTTCACAAGTGCTTGTAACAGCCTAGACTGAATAAATGACATTTCATTTCATTTCAAAAACGTAACGAGCGGTCGTAGAGCGTGCAAGTCTTTTCTACTGAGCATTTGTCTATGGTTTTAATGAAGAAATTTGCTGATACCTATACTTAAACAGCCACAAATGTAATGCATCAATCCAAATCTTTACTATGAGTGTTCTGTTAGAATGTATTTAAATGAATAAACGCTCATTAAATGATTTTGTATGGTTACTTTAGTAAGTTTGTCATTAAAGGATTATGTTTATCTAATGAATGTGTATCTTGTTGATGGTATCGTTATATGAATATCTGACGTACAGAACTAATGTTGATACCCAATTAAAATGTAATACAGACTTCCTTCTTCATTGTATTTATATAAACTTGACATTATCCTTTGGCTAATTAATATTGAACAAAGCATAGGTTAAACGATACGCTAACAAAAATGTATTATTAGACATGTTATTAAATAATATGGTTCAAACAAAACTTATTTTAGCACATGTGATAATAATAAAAATAATTTTGCTATACTTACACTTCAGCGCGACGCATGAAACAAAGGATGTTACATTTAATAATTTATAATTACTTGCTACACTTTATTTACCTACTTATTTTATAAGTAGGTCCGACAGATGAATCCACCTCACCTGATGTTACGTGACGGTGGAGTCCAGACAGTACAGTAGTTCTACCTGCCACACCAGCCATCCTCACCTTGCCGGCCTGAATAATTGTTTATTTACGCCTCTTTTAAAGGGTACTGCGTTATAGAAAGAAAGGAACACGTGAACTGGCAAAGTATTCCATTTGCGAATAGTGCGACAAAAAAAATATTGGAATTTAGTCCTTAAGAATCGATTTGCATAAGGGGCCCGGTATGAGAAAAATGTGAGGAGTAAAATCTATCGATGAATGACATTAATGACCTCGTTACGTTTTTGTGCGCAACCTTATCTGCGCACCTTTCACTTTTAGCCATGGCAACGGATAAAAAACATTAAGTTGTCACAAATGTCAATAAAATAAATAAACTAAAAATAGATAAAATCGGAGCAAAATTAATGAAAACAAATAAATAACAGAATATAGAGAAATGCCGGTAAGTGTCCAGCACTCTGGAATAGTGATTTTCAGTACAGATGGAATTTTAAAACATATTTACAAAATGATGACTAGTGTGTGATATTTTTGAAATTGTGTGTTTCCAGAAATACATAATAAAATATATGATGAATATCGCTGATGTTAGATGATAAAATGTGTGACATGGAACCTATGATAGTCGAAACCATGGGACGATTCCTGAGGTATCTCTACTTGTAACCGACTTCTTCGGACTTGATTTTGTTTTGTGTCTGTTCAAAGACAATCGTTTTTACAGTGTAAACTCCGGTCGTGCGTCGGAGCTGACACACACAATTTTTTCAGCAAATTTCTTTGTTCGCGTGGAAATAGTAAATAGTATTTTCAATTTCCAACAACACTCACACCAATAAGCCTAGCCCCAAAGTAAGCACTGTAGGCTTGTGTTATTGGATTAATAGGATAACGGACAGAATAAATATACTGATACAAATATAAGTATAATTGTATAGAAATACATATTAGACATCCATGACTGTAGTACAAATGCTCGTATTCATCACACAAATATCTGCCCCCCACCGGGATTCGAACCCTGGACCTCTCGAGTTGGCGACACCTTGAAACCCGGCGTACAAACCACTCGGCTGCGGAGGTCGTCAATCCACTGTAGGCTTAAGTGACCCAGCTCATGTGTTCTCCGACTCTAAGGGATAGGCGAAGGTGGGATAAGAGAGAATAACTCCTCAAAACACTCGCCGTGGTATAGAAGATAGAATGTGTTTAATGACGCCACTCACTACTGTATAGATAAGCTACAACTTGGCGTTATGCAGTCATAAATATTATTTTAATAATAGGGATTAATTTTATCAACAATTTGAGTCATGCACGTCACTCTCAAAGTATTTGCTTCGTATTTTTCAAAGCGTGTTTGCATTAATCGATATTGTAAATTCTGTCACCATCAGAAAACTGCATTATTCCTGAGTTACGTAGGGGGTCATCCATAAATTGTTTTGTTTGATTTGATATTCACCTCGCCCGGACACACTTTTCGTAACGCGTAAAGCATTCGCCAGCTTAACCCCAAGTAAAGCGTGCGTAAAGAAGTTTCACTACAAAAATAATTTAAATGGCAATTGAACTGATTTCGGAACCGCTGTTCATTCAATAATTTCTAAATGTTTTTATGAAAAATATGTGACGTCACACTAGGGAGAGGGGGAGTCTCACAAATGTGATCAGCTGTGACAAGGACGGGCGGAGGGGCAAAAAATAATGAAATTCGTGTGACGTAATTTATGGATGGCCTCTAGGCTTTATCTCGTTAAAATGAATTTTACCACATTATTGTTGTGATGCACCCTTATACAGGATATTGATTGCAAAGGAGTTAGGTTCACTTGCAGTAATTTTGCTAAATCTCGATTCAACTAAAACGTGATGTAATCCATACAAAAATGTCAAAATGTCAATTTAACGCCATTGCATGGAAAGAATCTAGTTTAAGTCAAATTGAGATTTAGCAAAATTCCTGCAAGTCGGCCTTAGTGTGTTTCCGATAGTACAGAATGCTGAAGATTAACTGTTGGCTACTCTTCGATAGATCACCGTTACGAAATTTGCATAACAATCATAACAAACTCGTTTATTACTGCGCTATTAAGCACGAAAGACACAATCAATACAGATAATATCCAAAAGTATCACTCATGCTGACTTTTAACTGTATTGTGCTTGATACAAGATCCTCAATTGACCGAGAATCGATCGATACTCTGGTAACCTAACGTGTGTTCAATTTTACACATAATATGCTCACCCTTGCATAACTTCAGTCTTCAGACTGTTTAGTAACTTATAATGTTTTGATACAAGATTCACAATTGACTGAATGGTACAGTAATATGCTCACCCCTGATTGAAGAACGCGACTCCCTTGATGATGCCGACTTTAAAGTGACCTTAACGCTTGATACAAGATTCACAATTAACTGAATTGTATAGTAATATGCTCACCCCCGATCGAAGAGTGTGAATCCCTTGATGATGCCAACTTTTAAGTAACTTTAAACACTTGATACAAGATTCGCAATTGACTGAGTTGTACAGTAAAATGCTCAAGCTCACCCCTGATCGAAGAGCGTGACTCCCTTGATGATGCCGACTTTTAAGTGACTTTAAACGCTTGATACAAGTTTCACAATTGACTGAGTTGTACAGTAATATGCTCATCCCTGATCGAAGAGCATGACTCCCTTGATGATGCCGACTTTTAAGTGACTTTAAACGCTTGACACAAGATTCACAATTGACTGAGTTGTACAGTAATATGCTCACCCCTGATCGAAGAGCATGACTCCCTTGATGATGCCGTCAGAAGGTCTGATGTAGCCGAAGAAGGTGTCTTTCACGAACAACCATCGTTCCTGCCATTTGGCGCACACTAACCCCGTGCAGAAGTAGTTACATCTACAAAGTGTTATAGAAAAATATTTCTTACCTTTCTTTTACATCTAGGTATAAAAATACATGTATTTAACGAAATTAATACAATATCTTAATCTTTTGTTTCCACTTATATACATGTATAAAACATGTAGTATACAATATTTCCATTAAACTTGTTGGATTAACAAAATATGTGAATTAAACAAGTGATTTATACTTGTAAGATACTAGTTGTCTATGTAGTGTAAACGAAAGAATGTTTTAAACAGCCGCAATAAATATTCTACAAGTTTTATTTAAAACTATTATACGACTTGTTTCTTGGTGGAAACGAAGGGTTTAAGTGAAGTAATAAAATTTGTTGTATAGACTAGGTTACTAATACACAGGTGCATAAAACAATGGGACATCATACTAAATGGGAGTGTGTATTGATAATACAAAGGATGTACCTGGATTTTGTACGTACAATATAAGTTAATAATTAAAACAGGAATTTGAAGATATTGATAAAGTAATTGACTTATGTGTCATATCGTTGTTATTACAGAAAGTTATTTCATTTAAATAAAAACATTTTAGTAACGAAACTTTTATTAACTGTTCTTAAAAATCTATAAAACGGAACGGAAAGACGAAATTTAATTTTATTACAATGTAATCCATATTTATTACGTGCCATGCTGCCCCAGCTGTCCCATGGTGTATCACATGTACTTTTTATACTCTGTTCATCAAAAGGATGTAATGGAGCGGATTTTTTCCAACAATCGCTTACAAAAGACAAAGATGGCAAACTGCGTCACACGAGATATGAGGTTGTCATTGGTTTCAGTAACGACAACCGTATAAATCGGCCAATGACAGAAAAGCTTAGTTCTGATCGGTATTATCTCGTTTCCGTATATAGAGTATGCATATCATTTTTCATTATACTTTTTTGCCTTACTTAGTTTGGTAGTTCTGAAAATTTATTTAAATTTAAAGAAATTATTACTAAAAAAATATCCACCCGGACCAGGCAGCAGACGGGACTCGAACCCGCACCCTTTGCTATCCGGGCAAATGCACTGACCATTATGCTACCGCGGCCCTGACGGGCATGTCGAATTCATTCTAGCCTTTCTTAAGCTGCAAATATTTATTTACTCAAATTTCACCTGGTATATATAAACACATATTTATATTCTCTTGCCTAATTTCACTCACCTGACGCAAACCATGTTGCTCAATAGACCGAAGCAGTTGCACCCAGCTTGCCCGGGCTGCGTAGATCCCGTCCGTTTAAGAACTATGCCCTCCTTGCCCTTACCGCCCAGATCCGAAATAAATGATAAATTCGACACTTCCAGGAACTTCACCTGCAAATTTCCTATTATAGATTCTCCTTGACAATGTATTATTTTGTGATATCATTATTTTCTAATGTGTTATAAACGAAAGCCGGAATTTTATTCGTTTGTCAACATTGAGATAACAATAAAAAAACCGATCCGGATCCGGATCGCACAACACCGAGCAAATTGGCGCACCATGGAGGAGACCTTACCCAGCAGTGGGTGGATAAAGGTTGAAGAAGACGAAGAAAAAAAACCGGAAGAATTAAAATGGCGGTATATAAAACTAAAGTAAACTAGCGGGTTTAACTTGCGTTATTGTATATTTCAATAAATAAACGTCGTATAGTAAAAATCGAAATGTTGCGCTATAGTCCACCTCAAGCCGATCAGAATAAGCGTTATAAAGAAGAAAAAAACACTGTATTCTTGAGTAGAGGCTTTTGTCTTATCACGACAGTTCACACCGACAGACAGACAGTATGCGTGGAAATTCGTTACCCATAGAAACTTCCACCCACATATGGGATGATTTTAGGAATAAAAACTATTGTTGGTCCTTTCACGGGACTAAAACTATCTCCATACCAAATTTCATTTTAATCGATTCAGTAGTTAAAGTGTGAAATGTAACAGACAGACAGAAAGACACTATCGCATTTATAACATTAGCATAGATATATATATATTCATTGGTAAAAAAAAATATCTTCTTAACTAATTTACACAGTAAATAACTAGCAAAATTTGTTAAGCAGATTATTTTATCAGAACAATCATGACTTTTTGATAAAATAAATGTCAGTAAAGCCCAGTGTACTAACCGTCTCATGATGATTTCTATAAATAGAGATATTAAGTAGATTGAACAAGTATTCTTCTAGTTGCTTCATACGTAGTTGTATGCCTTCATATGTCACCATTACCTCTGGTTTCTTTGGAAACCTGAAACAACAGTAACAAGATTTTATCCATACATTATATTTATATCTCATATAAAAAAAGCACTTATTTAAAAAGCTTATAACAAAGTGTCTTTATATATTACAGGTAAAAATGCTTGGTTTTGAACTGTTCCAATCATTCCAACAGGTTTTCTATATTAAATAAATCATGATTGTATTGACGTTATAACAACATAATGTTTTGTAAATGTTGTTACATTATACTTTTAATGTTGTGGAACTTTTTTCGCTGGTTTTACTCCGCAGCTAAAAAATATATCCTGTAACAAGTGGTAGGGAAAACATTTTTTTGGATGATTTAAAAGAGTTGTACTATACATCCAATTTGAATAATGATATGTACCTAGTCAGGTCATAAATTCTGTCACATGTGTAATATAAAATAATTGAAACAAGTTTATTCATTATGTAACCATTATATACCAAAATGAACTTAACAAAACATAGATTCTTATGACAATAAAGTTTATTCAAAATGACCTCCGTGATTTTGAATACAGACCTTCAATCTGCGCGGCCAGCCGTTTATAGCAGCACGAACGAGGTCCATGTCAATATCGGCGGCTGCCTTAATCAAGGATGTCTTGAGTGACTCCAAATTGGGATGAGGATTTGAGCACGCCTTTTCCTCCAAGTGTTGCCATATCTTGTAATCTAGCGGACTCAAATTTGGACTGGAGGAGGGCCAGTCTTCGTGCCGGATGAAGTCGATTTCACGCGCCACCAGCCAGTCTTGTGTGCTCTTCGCTCTATGAGCTGGCGCCGAATCTTGTTGGAATACCCAGTGCCTGTTATGGAACATGGTATCAGAAACAGGTTCCACAAGGTTCGTCAGGACTGTATTTTGATACACAACTGCATTCGTTTTTACACCTTTCTCACAAAAATGTACCTCTGTTAAGCCCCAATAAGAAACTCCCAACCATACCATGAGCGAGGATGGAAAATGACCTCGTTGGACACGCGGAATACGGTTGCTCGTTTCTTCACTACTGTGTGTGTACACCATATCATTTTGTTTGTTGTAGATCTCTTCTACGGTAAAATTTTTTTCATCCGAAAAAAGAATTTTCCGGTAGTTTTTTCCCGCGTACCGCTTCAACAAAGCGCGGCATCTCTTCAGTCTCAGGTCCATTAGATGAGCATTCACACGATGTCCTGTTTTTCTTCGATATGCCCGAAGCTCTGAGTCTTCATTTAACACCCTTTTCAGCGTGGTTCTGCTTAACCCCATCTGAAGGGCCAACAGTTTCTGCTTACGTTTGGGTTTTTTTTTGAATTTGCGCCTTCACAGCTTTTATCACTGCTGGAGTCCTAACAGACCGAGGGCGACCACTTCTTGATCTGTCATCTACACTAGTCTTCATTGTATCGTTTGATGGTACGATAAACGAATCTTTTGCTTATATTAAAATTTTTCAGTATGACAAAAATTTGAATTGGCGCGTAACCGCAACGATGCAACGCAATAACTGCAACACGGTCTTCTTTAAGCATCCACTCCATATTTAAAAATGAGTATTATTCTAAAAAGTATACATTTTTATTTTCATGAACAATTCGAAATTCAAATTCTATAAACTTTTTTGTGGTCAGCATTCTAAAAGAAAAGTTTTTACTGTGTGACAATACTTATGACCTCTGTGTATATTGAATTCTGATTTGATCAATTATTTTATCATTATATATTTATACAGGGTAATAATTTTGTCAGTATTGAACATGAAAATCATTTTTATTACGAAGTATTTTATACAACCAATTATCTATAAAGGTATATTGTAAGCAGAACAACACACTTTATAACACTTTCCCTATAAAATTAAGCATTTACCATGAAAAAAAAGATAAATTACATACACGTAACCTCAATTCGACCAAAAAAATTCCACTTTTTCAACGACGCAAAAAAAAAAAACTACACAGAGTAGGTGAAAACTTTACGGCTCTAAAGATAGGTCATTTCGCCAAGTTAATCTATGGTAAAACTTCTTCATACAAAAGTAGCCTCTAACCTTCACAAAAAATGGCTTATAGTCCCGTGGGGAGCGCGGCCCATATGGGCCGTGCGGTGTTTGACCGTGCAATGTTTTTTCCCGCGCGGCCCTTATGGGCCGTGTGGTGTTAAGTGAGTTAAATCTCAGTTGTGAAACCGAAATTATTATAAAGTTCCACATGCTAAAGTTTTTTACAGGAATTTCAATTAAATTTAATTTGAAATATCATTTTTAAGTTTAATTTACCATAACAATGATAAAAAGTAGATAAAATAATTTTTAATGCTTTAATCGTGTTTCAATGATTTTTAGCCCATCCGCCTTCGAAGGCCAATTACAACAAAAATAGGCTGATTAAGTACATTTTTTTCCGAGTTTTGGTAGATTAGAAGTATGCGGAGTTTATAATTTTAGCCAGAAGTTATCGAAACTCCTTTTTATATTTTAAAATGTAGTTGAATGTTTGGGTAAATCCTACTAAAAACTAAAGTTCCAACTTTCAAGCCATTTTTGAGTATCTTTAAGTAATTTCAGGTAGCTGAGTTTTTTTATTAAAACAACATTCAAGACAATTATGTCATAGAAAGCGATTGCAAAATACCTACTACGAAAAAAGATATGAATTTTTGAAACCTCGCTGGCAGAAATCATTAAAAATACACAAATAAAATTATAACTCGAAAACTAAGAAAAATCGCGGAACATACATGAGGTATTTTCGGATACCCTTAAGTGCGAGGAATCTAAAAAAAAATTGTTGACGTCACAAATTGGACCAGCCTGTATCCTAATAAGTGAAGCCAGAGATTAACAGACACTTATCTGGGTGGAATAAATGACAACATTTTATCTAGAAAATAAAGACATTAAACAAAACCTAGAATGCTACCCGTGTTATTTAATTTATTTATCAGTATTGCAATACTAAATTAGAAGCTATTTATATAACAATATGATAAAATAGGTTGCTAAAATAAATATTCCACTTGAATCATCACCATGTCAAATTTCAATAATGCAAGAAAATTTAAATATAGCAAGTCTTTTTTAAAAAATAGCAACTAAACAGTAAAGTAATTAATTATTAAAAGCATTTAAGGTCAAAGTAAAAAGAAAAGGTGGGTTAATCATTCATAAGAACATCGAAGTGGACCTTCGAACAGGCCATATAGCAAGTATCTAATAGCTTTCTTAATTTACTAACAATTTGCTGAAAACAAAGTAGTAGATTTATTCACCTGGGTAAAGCACCTTTACGTTTCCTTGGAGTTCGTCCATCTCTCTTCTTTGAATTGCTTCTAGGCAGAGCCTCCAAGGCTACCCTCTCTGCTGTCTCCTCTGTATTCAATGTGTTCTTGAAGCTAGCTCGTCTGGACTTGTGAGTTTTGGTCGGGAAAGGAATTTTAAGTGACGCCCTGTACAAAGCGAGCTGTTGGTGCAAGTAAAGAATGTGCTTATAGCGCTTCTTAATTGTCCATGTGAAGTCACCGTGCTGCAAGGAGATTGTGTATCTGCAAAGTGAGATAACAACATTCCGAATATTTATAATATGTTTATTTTTTAAGCATTTAACTGCTAGATGTTTAAATCTAAAGAAATTTTACTTAATAAAAAGCCTAAGAAATACTAGAAGAAATTCTACACGTCCATTAAGGTCGTGGTAGCATAATTGGTCAGTGCATCACCTGGATAGCGGAGGGTGCGGGTTCGGCTGCTTCCTGGACCGTGTGGAATTTTTTCAAGTAAAATTTTCTTTAGATCCCAACTCTGTTAAATTTGCAAGTACAGCAGAATCTCTTTAATCTGGACTTTCGAAGATTTATTCTCTGTTCGAATTCGTGGAGCATTCAGATACAGAGAAGTTAAAGGATATTTTTTATGATAAAACATTATATATATTAAACTTTTAAAGAAAATTAATACTTTAGTTTATGACGAGACTAGAGTTATTTAATGACAAATCAAAAGCTTTGTCAATTTCACTACAGGCATTTTTTCCAACGATATTAAATACCCTAGATACACCAACACGAACAAAATCGTACCCAAAACCTGTTCAAAAGGTACATTGAACGATCCACGGAGCTCCGTAAGATGATCGCGTAGTCAAAATCAATATAAAGAATTATTAAAACAATGAAAGTCACCTTTAATGCATTCTGTATAAAGTCTTAATAAAAACGCATGCGTCAAAGAGTTATGACAGTTCGAAATGCATGATCGTAAAAAACGACTTATTGCTATAAGCGGAAGAATATAGACCTTATTTATTTGACTCTACGCGCAATTCTGAATGCGCTGTTAGCACTATAACAGGTACGGACCGCGAGGAAAAGAGACGACTATATTACCGACCATGCATTTGAATATCACAAATATTTTCTATTAAATCAGTTTATGGTAAGTATTAGAACTAATTTTGCTTCAAATGCGTTAAATCAACAAACATTGATTAGATATCTGTCGAAAAAAACGACAGTTTACATTCTATAAGTATTTTTTTCGTTTTTTTTCACGGAGCCCTGCGGCAACTTGACTTTTCAGCGGCCCGCGCGTGACTGTGAACCAAGAAGTGCTTGAGTGGTGTTCAAGCACTTCTTGATTGGGACATATTTGGAGCGCACGTGGTGTATCTAGGGTATTTAATATCGTTGATTTTTTCTGACAAGGGAATGTCCACTTGGTCAGTCCATTCAAAACTTCAAGGCATGACGGACATCACGCTTGAATTGGAATCGCAACTGGCGAACTGCAAAGGAAAAAGCACGGACGGGTTTAGGAAGTCGAATTAGGAGAGGTTTGGATTATAGAGGTTTTGCTGTAAATGATTTTAGTGAGCGAGCTATCACGCCATTAGTCCCACTTGCATGTTTAGACCAACACGCGGCCTTTTGGCTCTGATAAACGGCTTCATGTATCTTCCGAAACACTGGCCTTTGTCACAAACATTCTAACTACTGAACCATCGAATTCCTCAATTTACATAAAGTTAAGAGATAAGGTAATCTGAGATTTAATGACTTGAAGAATTTGTTTACTGCGTTATGTTGACCCCAAACTAAATTGGAGATAGGACAGGAGCATGATGATCTTTTAATGCATTCAATCATATTGTATAATACACACTTATGTATGTATAATATTGGTACTGTTGTTTTTTGGTTGTTTCCTTCAATATTTGTATTAATTAGTGCTGCTTTTACTCTTATACACTAAAGGCATTTATATAGACTAATGATGGTCTCAAATAAAAGTTAATCTATGTTTACACATTTACTTAGTATTTACTGTAGAGATTATAGAATAAGTTGAGGTATGTTTACACATTTACTTTTATTTAGTTAGATTTATTCTTTTTCCTATTAACTACTGCAAGATGTTTAAAATTCAGCTTATGGCTTTAATACGAAACCCATACAAATCAGTGGTGAACGAATAAAATTCCACATAAAATTTCACTCAGTAGGAAATAGTATTAGGAAATACTCAGTATATCCAATAAATAAAAAGCGTATTCTCTAGCCAATAAAAAACGTCCTTGCCCATTAAGCAAGGATCTTCGGTGGATAATGTACTAAGTAGTTTTTTGTAAAATAACAATAGGTTTTTTCAATATGAAACAGATTTTCCATAAAAATTTAGGATATACAATGATTCCTAAACCTTGAGTGTAGAATTGAAGTTTGTGTATGTCTTAAAATGGAATACTAGAAAAAACCAGTTTGTTTAGCTAGACATTTAGGAAACAATAGACACTCCCAATTATTTATTAATACAACTAAAATACATGAAATCTATAAATAGCCAAACAGGCTAGAGGAGTATCCAAATTCTGTCTGAATTTATCCAAACACAAGGAGCGCTATTTTTAGCATAAAAGATCATACTTACAAGTTAGGATTAATAAGATGAGATGTAACACTTCTTTCATTTTCAATGAATTTAACCTTTATTTCTACACCAGGTATGAAAACTTTTCTATATACTGAATTAAATTTTACTGGTGGGTCATGTATCTGTTTGAACGGCACAGAGTTTGGTGGTGTTTCTGAAACAAATGAATAAATTTACAGAGAGCTCAATATTTGTTTATTAGATATACCTACACAGTGGCGGTGCTAGGCGTCGGCGACGTCGGCCACCACCGACGGCCTCGCGCCTGAGGGGGCCTCGCAAAAATTTTTTACAAGTTACCTATTTATTTTCGTTTCTCCTGGCCTGGCTTAGGTAGCCGACCCCGAACAATTCGGGGTAAAAGCTAAGCAGATGATAATGACTTTTATTATTTTCGAACATGTGCATGATGGAAGCGAGTAGTACTTTGCGGGTATTCAGAATCATCTGTCTGGCAACACTATTTTTGTGATTTTTCTATGTTTGTAATTATTTTTTGTCATCATTTGATTATCAACAATAAGACTCGTTTACTCATACGTTATTTTATAATTTGGCTCACTTTATTCAATGGTTTTATACTGCGAATTAAAATAGGCCTCACGAACTTGATGTCGCCGACGTCCACATGTGGTCTAGCGCTGCCACTGTACCTCCATATTAGTTATGTTCTTTGTATCTATTTTTTTTTCCTACATTCATTGAGAAAATTGCCATTTTATGGGTGTTTGTTTGGAATTAGTATTATATAGTAATATTTCTATTCATGTTTTTCAGCTTGCATCAGTTTGACAGTATAAGTGTTTTCATGAAACATACCATACACCTACTTGTGTTTTTGGTTTGATCAAAACTTTTGATGAAATAACATTAATAAAGTGTGAAAAATAGTTAATATTTTAAATAACTAATAATAATATGGAATAACAAAAATCAATAACAATATATCGACCATCCCTACATAAAGTCCAGGTTTTGGCACTTAGGTGATTTTCAGTTTTTTGTTTAATTATCTTCCCCTAATTCAGGTCTATCAGCTAATGAAACAAAAAAAGTCCAATGATTACTGAGATATTGATGTATGATAAACTCATAAGTGTCACTTGTGTAGAAATTAAGAAAATATAAAAATCACTTGATAAGTTTTATCACTGTAATTTTTTTTTATGATTTATTAAAATTACTACTACAAAATGTTACACCTACTTTACCTATAAAAGGTTGAGTACTTAGACCAACATTCTATTTTTAAGTGTGAACTCACCAACTTCATCTGCTACATCCTTATTGTCAGTCTTATCCACTTCTATAATGGATAATGACTCGGGAACAGCCAAACTGTAATCGAAAACCTCATCGACGCTTGGTGACAGGGAGTCCAAGCCTTGGAATATGCCTGATATGCAATCACTTGGTGCATTTGTGGGGGTTGGTGTTTCCATCCCGTAGTTTGTATAACTGTATAGTTGTTCATCTAGAAATAGTCCATTTTAACTGTTACTTCATGCACTCACATAAACTTTTAGTTTAGAATTACACTTATATAAAAACTGCAGTTTCTCTTACTTTGTTCTATTTATTAACTATCAAAAGTTATTATTTGTTTTATATTAAAAAGATTAATAATGAATTATTAACTAACAATTTCAAAGCAAACACTGTACAAGACTTTGAGTAATAGCTACTCAAAGATACAAGACCATTTCTGTAAAACAGGTAATTCTGTTTTGATAACTTGCATATAATACATATATTAAAACTGGCCATTAAACACTTTGCGGTTATAAAAATCACTAACACTTGTTAATAATACTTATTATTTTTAAATGTAAAATAAAAAGTAACCTTGATATGAATGTCTTATATAATGTATAAGAGAAAAAAATAAAACCTATATGATAAATAAAATATCTTTGATATAGCTAGGTATTTTTTCCGATGAAACCACAACACAATATTTACACTAAACAAATTGGCAAACATAAATTGGGTATATCAAACAAAATTTCTTGTAAGCAACAGCACAAACACTACCTCTTTTGATTAAATTATGAAAACTTAAAGTCAATTCTTTGCGTTCCATACGTTCCACAACAATAATCTTGTATGGTCAGTCCCTTTTACTTCATGTCTGGAAAACGGCTAGTATGTAATCTATTTACACTACACAATATAATACACCACTTGTGCACATAGTCTTTTGCGATAAGATATGATTTTTATCACCTGTATAATTTATCAGTTCCATTAATGAATTTACTACAAATAGGCGTTTTTTATGTTTAAGGTTAGTGATCGGAATATTAGGTGATCTTATTATAGCAAAGTTGACCTTGACTGTTTAGAACGAATTATTTTTAATTTATTAGTACGATATACCAAAACAATTGACAATTTCGCTGTGTTAGAGAAGACGATTGAAATGACAGTCTCGTTAGGCACTCACAGTGCATGGTTCAATGAACAAGGCTGAATTCCAAGGTTTTTTTTATTACCATCCATTCTTACAGTGAAATCTCTACTTACCAAGTTTTTCGTCACTAGAAAATTGGCGATTGCGTGATCTTCAATCTCATGGTTTATATTATGCTTTAGTCAAATATAAATACACACGCCGATATCAACACATTATGTAGAAAAATAAGGTAGGAAGGAAGTCTACTTTGATTCATTAAAGTCTACGACAATGACTAACTCAGGGTTCTTTTTGGCGTGCTGCTGCTGGCTTTATTTTATTTGTTGTAAAAAAAACATTATAATTTGCAGTTCTGATGACGTTTGACGGGCGGATGTATTTTTTTTACTGAGATGACGTTAACGCGCCAGAGGTATTAAACAGTTTCAATGACTTTTTGGCGGGATCGGGAAGCGTCACTTTGTGTTGTGGCGGATGTTAGTGTATAATAATGGTGGATTATTAACCACTAAGTGTTCGGAAACATGCACAAGTGTTGGGAAGTGAAACAAAATAGCGGAAAGTGTCTTTCGACGTTCCCTCAAGAATTCCACGGGGAGGATCCAGTAAATCCCCACACATTTACTGAAACATTGGGAAAGGGGGATTGACTTGACTGCCACTTACTTTGACTTGACTAATATTTTGACCACGAGTGCTATAGAATATGTAAACATTTTACACTTGACATGGCTAAATGCACAAACCGTGCGAAGCCATATAGAAAAATTAAAAAAAAAAAAAAAACATTTTGAATTTATTTTGCTGGCACATTCTTTTATTCACATGGCATATTTGTATTTTTGACAGCTAGTTATCATATCGCTTAAGGGTGCGGCCAGAGTGCACTCAGATTCAGATTCAGATTCAGATTCTGAAAACAAGCGCGAGAAATAAACAGTGTAGTCTAAGCAGGTTGCCTGCTTTTTCTCGCGCTTTGTTTTCTGAGTCTGAATCTGAATCTGAATCAGGAGTGCACTCTGGCCGTACCCTTCGACTACACTGTTTATTTCTCGCGCTTGTTTTCGGAATCTGAATCTGAATCTGAGTGCACTCTGGCCGCACCCTAACATATTATAGGGAATGAAAAGGAACGAGTGTTAACAAGTATACAAATAGCAAAAGAAGTCCCGACGTAAGTAACGAGCATAAAATTGCTATGATAGCCGTTCTGACACTAACAATAGTGAAGGGGAAAAGTTAATTTGTTAGGTATACAAAAAATTTAACATATGCCAATGTAAGTCTCAACTAGATATAATATTTTTGCAATTTGAACTAATATTGCAAGTAGTAGTTTTTAAATGTATGCCTATGCAAGGCGTAATACATTTTTAATTGTTATTAAAAGAACAGACATTTTCAACAAGCATCGCTGGTTAAGTGGTAAAAAGCTCGCCAATTACGCGTGGTGGATTCGATTCCCAGCCAAGGAAGGACTTTTATTTTCCACTTTTTATGAGCCGGAGTATAATTAACTTGAAAATTAATTAATTAAAATGCCTACGACCTGTAAAAACATGAGGCGATGTAAAGAAAACACTTAAAAGTTATATTTGCATGCCTTGTGGTTTCATAAAAACACAACATTTTTTATTTTCCACATTTTATAAGTCAAAGTAACGTCAACTAAGTTTAGGTATGTACATTGCCCGCATTTTCTCTTTTATATCTCTTTAAATTTGAGATGATGTATAACACTTTAAAAATTTGACTTGCATCGTGATTTCGTAAACACACACATTTTTTATTTCTTTTTAGTCATTCAATAAATGGCGGAGTTTATGCCTAAAAGCATTATCTAAACCACTGAGCTAAGTAGATACTTTACGCGGTAGAAAGTAAATTATATAAACTAAACAGAAATCCTACCAGGAATTTTAATTCGGTTTCGGGGGCCCTTCCGTGCGGCGGGTCGGCGTATATTCTCTGCAGGCAATCATTCGGGGAAACATGCCTCCCTAATTTGCCGGGTCTTGTCGCGACAACGTTCGACCACTCGTTTCACGTCTCTTTTTCACTTCCATAATGGCAGCTCCTAAAACAAACAAAGTTTGGACGTACAGCAGTGCACACCCCCACGCCTTCAAAGCTGTTTGAGTTCGAGTTCTGCAACATACGGGGACTCCACTCTAACCTCAACGCTGTCCACCACCATCTTGAGACAGCACGGCCAGCATTGTTGTTCCTGACGGAGACACAAATACTTCCGCCTGATGACACAGGCTACCTTAATTATCCCGGCTACGTGCTTGAAGAGTCCTTCAAAGCGAAAGCCGGTGTATGCCTGTATGTTCGGGCGGATGATCGCCGTCTCCGCTGCTTGGAAGATCCCTCCTTCTCCATGCTGGGGGTACACGTCGACTCTGGCCCCCTGGCTGGAGTTTACGCGTGCCTCTACAGATCCCACACCGGCGATGTTGAGACAACTCGACTTTTTGAGCACCTTAGTCGGACAGCAGATGACGTGCAGGAACAATTTCCCAATGCAGAATTGGTGTTTTTGGGGAACTTTAATGCTCACCACAATTTGTGGTTAAGTTCTTCCAAAACTGACCATGCAGGGATCTCTGCTGACGCATTCGCTCTCACGCATGACTTGAAGCAACTGGTTGATCAGTCCACCAGGATCCCAGATATTCCAAGTCAAGCGTCTTCTTTACTGGACCTTCTGCTCACGACCCATCCACAGGGCTATCAAGTTGTGGTATGAGCCCCCCTGGGCTCGTCAGACCACTGCCTGATATCTGCCAAAGCACCACAGGCCAAGCCTCCGCGTCCATCAGTGGTCAAGCGCCGTATCTGGCATTATGGGTCGGCAGATTGGGACGGTATGCGTGACTACTCTGCGTCCGTCCCTTGGAAGCAGCGCTGCTTCAGTGACAGGGACCTATCGGCCAGTGCCGTTGCCATTACGGAGGAGATTATAATGGGTATGGAATACTATATTCCTCATTCTGATCTCATCAGTAAGGGCACACGTAACCTCTGGTTCAATTACGACTGTGCTGAAGCTGCTTCGCGTAAGCAAGCGGCATATCGTGCTTGGATCAGAGGCCGCGCTCTCAAGGATCCCGAGGTCGATTCACTCAAAGCAGCCTACAATTTTGCTTCCAAGGCCTGTAAGAAGGCTTACATCAGAGCGGATGCCCAGCGCGTTGCACGTGTTGGCCAGGAACTTATGACGCATCCTACGGGCTCCCGTAGCTACTGACGTCTGGCCAAGGCTGTGCAAAAAAACTTCTGCGAGCCCTCGCTGCCACTTATGAGATGCTCAGACGGAACACTAGCCTATAAGCCGCAGGAGAAAGCCGATTTACTGGCAAAAAACACTTTGCGGCTAACTCCCGAATCGATGATTGCAATGCACTGCCACCATCATTACCTCACTGAGGCACAACGATGCCTGATATTAAAATCAGGCAGCGCGAGGTTCGTGCCGAATTGCAATCACTCGACGTCCGGAAAGCTAGTGGACCTGATGGCATCCCAGCAGTAGTACTTAAAAAATGTGCAGCGGAGTTGTCTCCCGTGCTCACGCGCTTGTACCAATGCTCGTATTATTTGGGGCGTGTGCCGGAGACTTGGAGAGATGCTAATGTGCAACCGGTGCCCAAAAAAAGGGATCGCTCAGACCCGGCAAACTACCGGCCAATAGCAGTCACCTCAGTTTTATGTAAAGTTCTAGAAAAGGTCCTTAATAACCATCTGACCCGCTACCGAAAGGATCACTCCCTGATTAATGATCGTCAATATGGTTTTAGACCAAAACGATCGACGGGTGATCTTCTAGCGTACTTAACTCATATCTGGGGTGAGGCTATCGACAAGCGTGGCGAGTCGTTGGCTATCAGCCTTGACATTGCCAAGGCGTTCGACAGGGTATGGCACAAAAACCTTCACTCCAAGCTCCCGGCATACGGTCTGACAGCCCAGTTCTGTTCTTGGGTAGCTGACTTCCTGTATGAGCGTAGAATTCGTGTCCTTACGGATGGTAGCAGTTCGCGGTTCATGTCAGTGAATACCGGCATTCCCCAGGGCTCCGTCCTATCCCCCACTCTCTTTCTGCAGCATATCAATGACTTAATTCCTCTTGGGAATATTCATTGCTATGCAGACGATAGTACAGTGCATGCGGGATATCTCGGACAAGCAGCGGCTGGGCTGGCGGTAACCAAGGAGAAACGGGAGAATCTTGTCATTGAACTCAATCAGGCTTTGGACCACATATCCGAATGGGGTACCAGGAACTTGGGTGAGTTCAATGCCAAGAAAACTCAGGCTTGCGCTTTCATGGCAAAAACATCGCCATTCCTTCCCCTTCCCTCTCTTCAGGGCATAACACTACCGCTACAGAGCAACATTTCCATGCTCGGTATGGAAGTTCGCTCAGACCTGAATCCAAAGGACTACATCGAAACCGTGATCAAAACAGCTTCACGCAAAGTCAGAGTCCTGAACAAGGTGCGGCGTTTTTTCACGCCCGATCAACTGTGCTTGTTGTACAAAACGTAAGTGCGGTCCTGCGTGGAATATTGCTCGCACCTCTGGGATGGCTCCGCCAAGTACTTGCTCGATGCTTTGGATAGGTTACAGCGGCGCTATCCACATCATAGGCGATGAGGAGGTGACGAAACACCTTGAGCCTCTTCAATTACGCCGTGACGTGGCATCACTAAGCGCGTTCTATCGTCTGTACCACGGCGAGTGTTCTGAGGAGTTATTCTCTCTTATCCCACCTTTTCCTTTCCTTCAGAGAACCACGCGCGCTGGCCTACGTTGTGACCGTCTAACTGTGGCCACAATTCCAACGCGTGCAAAGAAATTTGGTGACTCATTTCTTTGTCGCACTATCCGTAAATGGAATGCTCTGCCCGCTCACGTGTTCTCTCCCTCTTACAACCTGGGATCCTTTAAAAGAGGCGTGAAGAAGCAACATGCAGGCCGGCAGGGTGAGGATGGCTGGTGTGGCAGGTAAAACTGCTGTATCAGCTATCTTCACGTCTGGACTTCACCTTCACTTAACATCAGGTGGGGTGGAGTCATTTGTCGGACCTATCTATAAAAAAAAAATTGATTCTGATAAATAAATTTGAGAAATAGGGAAGACGTGGACTGTATGATAAGATGTATAATGAAACATGATATTAAAAATATACACCGCAAGATACGAGCGAACATGTACGACGATATCAAACAACAATAAGTGACAGAATGACATTCGATGTAAAAAAAGGAATAGGTAAAAAGACAATTAAGTCTCTCCAGACAGGCGCTAACAAAATCTTTATAAATAAAATTATATCATTATTATTTATAAAAAAATATTTTCTTATAGCAATTGTCAAACATAAATAATAAAATAAAGAAATTCAAAAAGGTTGTTTATACATGTAGCACTGACATTAAGTTTTTGACAAGACACGTTCTGAATACAACTAATCTATGTACCATGGACGTATTTTTACATTAATTCATGAACTTTTTATATGATTTATCATGTAGCAATTAAATTTAATAACGTTAAAAACTTAGCAATATAATTCTTAAATATTAAGTCGTAGAAATATTATTATTTATTCAGCGCCATCTATCATCATGCATATAAATTATTCAATATCGAAATCCACTTTGAAAAGCAATGGACAAGTACATTATATGTGTGAACCTAGTAGTTGCATTTGGAATGTAAGTTAGAGGGAGCTAGTGTGTAATTTTTTTAAATGAGATGCGGAAATGGATGTGACGTCACATTAATGTTCTGGAAACATTGAAAGGCGGAGTCAGCAAAACCGGTCCGTGTGCTTCCTCATACCAAATATGGTAATATGAGAGAAATTTGCAATGACGCTGTCACGTGTTGTAGTAGCCTATAAATAGCAGTGCACAAACAGATTCGCTCTCTTTTGGCTGATAGAACCTTGAAGACCATACTTAGAAAATAGCATTAAGACTAGCAGTGGTAGTCAGTGCATTATATACTTGTTATTTCTCCCCGGATTAACGGGTAAGTTCAATACATTTGATTCGTTAGGCTGTAGGTCCAGTTAGTTTTTTTATTGAATTAAAGA